GAAAGACATATGGTGGAAAAAGATTTTAATCTTGAAGGGAAATTATCTCTGCACCCACCTGCAGCGAGACTTTTTTTTTATCTTCTTTCAATATTTTTTAATTTTTTATTTCTAAGACACCTATTAATATACCAGTGTTGGAGTTGGTTTTAGTGTTAATAACTTAATATCTCTCTAATACAATAATAATAATGATATAATTAAATTACACAATTAAATTTATAATTAGAAAATATACAATTTAATCTATTATATAAAGAGATGTTTCTCTCATTCTAAAGTGTGTCACATAGGATCCACGTCACTAAGTCACGTCAGCGCCACGATTTTGGGCCTGAAATGTTTGGGCTTTTCTCTTTATTTTATGACTTTTTTTTGTTATTGTTTTGGTTCATAATTTTTTTTCTCCCGACCTAAAGCGAAATTTTCTCACGGGTGATGCTTGGTGTGTCTTCTTCTCCTCAAATCTGAACTTTGAGTTACGTGGTTTGATTTTGATGTAGGTCTTAAGTTTGGCCGATTCAACCAGCCCGTTTCACTAATTTAAACGTTATTGCAAGCGTCGTTTTGCGTATTAAGGTTTCCATTTGATGTCGTCTCCTCCGTTTGATATCAAGATAGAACCAAAGGTCTGAGAGAGTTGATTTATCTTCTTACTAACAATCTCTAACAGTTACAGATTCACCATCTTAAAGTCATTCTTAAATCACTATGCACGATCTACCTTGAATGCGAGTTTCTTCATGCAAGGCGGTGGAACTTCGATTATAAAAAGGTAAGCTTTTCTTATCCGGCAACCATCTTTTCATACCCTCTGACCAAGCCAATAATCTTATATCCAGAAATTGGCTAACGCACCGATCTTTCTTTGTGAGACGAATACCAGACAATGCTCTTCCACCGTTTAAGTCCAGTTGCTCCGGTTTTGGGAAGCCATGAACGTCTGTCGTCAGGGTGACGAACTCATGGGAGTAGATATACTTCGACAGAATTCTCATGTTACTTTTAAAACTCTGATTCAGTTCATATTTTTTAAAAAAACTCAATTCTACAAATCCTTAATAACAGTTTTTTATTTTAGATCTTTGTCTGATAAAAACTATTTATAACTGATTGTTGATTTTTTTATAATTTTGTTTTTTCCTTAATTATGTTATTGAACATTCCGTCCTGTTGAATCTTTTTACCAAGTTCTCCAGATCATTTATTTTTTTGTTCATTGTATCGTTTAACCAAATTTTCCAAAATATTAATTTGTTTGTTGATTTTTCTTTCTAAATCAAATGTTTCAGGCCACCGTGGATGTTAACCTTGCTGCTCACAGGCCTAATCTGAAGGTGGGTTCAATATATTCCCTACCCGGTTTCGATGTGACCCGGTGAATCAGAATTACGGCCTGCTAGACTCCTTATGTTGATCCGTTTCAGTAACTTAACCTCTTTCGATGATGTCCCTGAACCGTCTGCTCTGATATAGGAGTTTAATCTTTCTGGTTCCAAAATCATAGTGAGATGCTTGGTCTTGCCAACACAAACACTCAACTTCCAGGTAATGATACTCCTATTTGTTAATTTGTCTAGACGGAATATATAGAAGCCATTTTTATTCATGTAGGTGGAATGTCACACACGCCAGCTTTGACATTGTTTGGTATCCACTTAACGAAGTAGGACTGGAGAAACTCTGGCTTGTGGTAGTAACTATGAGATCAATGTTGGATTTAGTGAAAACGAACAAAAAAAAGCTAACAAGAAGAAGAAGGACAAGAAACAAGAGAGTTTGATGAACTAATTAGTTAACCTGTTAGAGAGATGTTTATAACCCAGCTGCTGTAGAAGTTTGAGTCATGTGATGATGGTTATAACTTACTACTATAACTGCTACATTGTGCAATTCGGGTTTCTGGTTAGAGTAAAGAGCTCATGATTATGTTTTATTGTATGCAGTTGACAAACCCAAATATTTTCTAACCGGTGGTCCACATAAGAAGAGACTTAAGTGATGTATATAGACGATGAAGGTCAACTAAGGAACATGTTTTGGGAAGATGCTTTCTCTTTGAGTGTCTTGCATTTATTTTGGTGACATCGACAATACTTATAATATCCGGAAACTTTGTCTCTATCATGGATAGTGAGCTATATTATCTTCTCATACTGTTATTTTCTTTTTTTCTGTATGATTTAGTGATTAATGGGGGGGGAACTATGTTTTCTATCATTGCACTTTTTTATATCTGCTAGCCATATTTATCTTATGAGAGTTGGTAAATTCAGATATTAACAATTACTGGCAGATATACACTGAGTAGTCACAATTTTATGCCATGTGCACTCTCTTTTGTTTGAGGAGAAATATTTTCTCTTGGAGGAGCTGATGTCATATAGTGCATTTTTTGGGTACTTGATGATAATTTGGAATGCCAGTTTTAGTGGACAATTTTTTTTGTTAAGGCCTTCAGTTCACCCAAAGCTCACAGAAGAACCTTTCGATGTTGTTGAATGATGATTCATATAATTCACCGGTGGGTCTAGACAGAAACGGATTTATCCTTCATTCTATGGGACAATGATACTTTATGTGGCTTTGTAAACCCTAACGAATTGCTTTCTTATGTTTCACTTTTCTCTAAAGAATATCTCAGCTAAGGCTTCTCTGATCCAACTCCAATACAAGCTCACTGTGCGCCATAAGAAGCTAAGAAGCTTTGGTGATTGTGTTTTGGAGTTAAAAAGAAATTCTATTATTTACTTGGTTATCAAATGTTTAAGGTTATTGTTCACAAAATAGTTTCCTTTTTGTTTTATCAATTTCCAAAAATAAAGACTACAGCTAAATATATTTTTCTCAAAGTAACACATATATAGGGAAGAGACTATCCAAATACAATTATGAAGCTTCTAACTTAATTTGACACAAATAAATCAATCTCAATTTCTTTTTGAAATAAAGGGATTATGAAAAATGTAATTTATCAAAAATTATCTAAACCATTACTCAAAATAAGTTCCAAAAATATATTCTGTACTAAAGTTTGTATGTAATATATTTAATTAGTCAAACTCTAAGTAAGAAATTTACTTATTGAACAATCTTCTGAACATTTTTTCATACCAAATTAACAATAAACATATATATAAGATATCTGAACTATATAAAATTATTGGATCTATAAAAATACGAGTAATACCTTATAAATATTTTTTTCATATAAAATTAACATAAAACTTATGCATAATATATTGAGCTATGTAAATTTATATCACAGAATAAATTTAATAAGACATAACAATAAAAACCTTAAATAATATATATTATAATATTTTATACGTTTAATGATTATATATTATCCGTATATAATGTTTTAATAAGTAGTAGAACAAATATTGAGAACAAATAAAAGTTATTTAGTTTCCATAAATATTTTAGTTTTGAAATAATAAATTAAGAGATGTTAATAAAATAAGTAATAAGAGTTTCTGACATATATAATGAAATATAGTGATATATTTAGTTTAAAACAAACAAAACATTTGTAAGTAATTACACTTATAACATACACAAAATTACCCACAACCCAATCATTTTGAATCTAAAATATTATACGCTATAAATAACACACCAAATATCGAATCTTTTTTTGTAAAAAGAAAAAATATGAAAACCATTTGAAACCGTTAGAATAAATTAATGCCACAACTCTTTAATATAGAAACAAATATTGTAAACAAGCAAAATATATATTATAACATATAATCTCTCCTCACTTAAAAATTTATAAAAGAAAAAAAATTCTTATCATACACATTTCTTTGCAAATAAAACTTAAAATATAAACCACAAAATCATACAAAAAAAAAATTTAAATAACAAATAAATTATATCACGTCCGTAGGGCGGGCCAACCCTAGTTATATAAAAGCAAGTGTCTATGGATCTTTCAAATTAGAACTTTTCATATGGAAAATCCATTTCATTCTCCTTCTTTTATCTTTTTATATGTTCAAAAATTCATTGAGATACATTCAATACAGATATTCTTAGAACACACATTTGGGATTATCTCATCAAATCTTTTACCACAAAAAAAAAATCATTAGAATCAAGTTTATTAGCCACCGCCTGGCAATTCAAGGTAGACCCTCAGCTAATGGTTGTAACCAAATCATATACAATTAATACAAGTAAGAAAGCCAATGATCGAAAAATATTGTTTTGCAATCCTCATCTTGAAGCTTCATGTCTTGATAAATATTGCAAACAAAGCAAACTAAATAATTATTTATAGCTTATTTTCATGGAAAATCAGTAAAACTACTTAGCATTCTTCTTTCTCATACAGTAAGTCATGTCTTTTTTTCTTTCTCGTTCATCCTTCCTTAACTAAAACTGTGTTTCTTCTTTTTGGAAAATGAACTTCTGATCACATGTATAAATTGCATACAAATGATTCAATATGAATATTTCTGTGGTCAAATCCGGCATCAGCCATTGTTGATATTGTGAGATCAGATGCGACCTAGAAAAATGTGGACAGAGAAAGACTAGATTGAGAGAGGCTGAGAAGTGAGACCATATTGATTTATTCCTCAGCAACTTGCATAAAATGGACTTGTTGATACCAGCAGCCTCACATCTCATTCTCATTTTTGACATTCGAATACCATACCATAGTTTCAGATTCTTACGTGTTTACTTGCAATAACTATACATTTGTCTTCTATTATTTAATGCTTTTATCTTATATTACTATCTATATGTATGTGCATACTAAGGTTTCAAATGTAACGATGGAATTCACATTTTTCTTTAATAAAAAATAATTCTATTATTAGAAATGTGTTTCTTTCTTAATCGGTGAATCACACGCTTTCCTTTATATGCCCGAGTGGTCAAATGCATGCAATAAATGATCTTTGCCCCTTACAGCCGAGAGTAAATGACGAAAATGCCCTCGTTTATTGGATTCTGGAGCTTGAGGGGGCAATCCTTTGCCACATATGTGCTTTCCTCCACATAAAAACCATTTGACGTTTTTGCTGCAGGGACCATTGTCTCCTTTATTATATCACTTCAATATTGGATCAAATGAAGATACATTGCTTGAGTTGTCGCTGTGATTGTGAAGAGTTTGATAATAAACAGAGGAGAACAACATTTTTTTTTTCAAGCAAAGAAGAAAGAGAGAAGAAGAAAAAGAGAAAAAGCTGAATTGTCAGTTTATTCTCTGCAAACGTGCGGCCTAAGTAACAACAACACATGTATACTCTCTGTTTCTTAAAGAGACAAAGAAGCCTCTCGTTTCTTTTTTTTTTTCTTTTTTTTTTTTCTTTTTTTGTTACTCTCTATTAACACAAAAAAAAAATGTATTTTCAGGTCGAACTACGGAGTGAAAGAGCTCACATGGGAAAATGGGCAGTTAACGGTCCATGGTCTAGGTGAAGGAGTCGAACCAACAACCTCAGCTAACCTTTTATGGACCCAAGCTCTTGATGGGTGTGAGACTTTGGAGTCTGTGGTCCACCAGGCAGCTTTGCAGAAACAGAATGGTCACGACCACAACTCTGATAGAAAGAATGGATCTTGCTCAAGAAAACGGGCGTATCCCCAAGAAATGGACTGTTGGTTATCTCCTCAAGAAGAGAGTCATAGAGTTGGTCACAGTGTGACTGCAAGTGCAAGTGGTACCAACATGTCTTGGGCTTCTTTTGAGTCTGGTCGTAGCTTGAAGATGGCTAGAACTGGAGACAGAGACTGTTTATTCTCTGGATCGGTAAGAACAAACAAAAACACTTTTTCTTTGTCTGAAAGATGCTTGAGAAATAATAAACATAAGAGTTTGTTTAAAAGGAAACTCAAGAAACTGAAGGAGATGAACAAGAGACTAGAGGAGAAGCTGGGAGATCTAATGGAAGAAGAGGACGAGCCGCAGCTATTCACAATGAGTCTGAAAGGGTAAAAAACAATACATATATATTACTCATTCCGTTCCGCTTTATTTGTTATTTAGAGAAAAATATTTGTTTCAAAATAAGTGTCTGTTTAATAATTTCAATGCAGAATTTATTAATTTTATCTACGTATCTATTTTTCTATTGGTTAAAATATGGTTAGGTGTATAATTAATTGTGTTTTTATTTTGAATATATGCAAAATTAAATTATTTCTTAATTTGTGTACACAAACTTAAAATGACAACTAAAATGAAACGGATGAAATATTTTTTTTTGTATCAACAATTGCTATACTGACTCTTTTGGTTGTGATGCAGAGAAGGCGTGATAGGATAAACCAGAGGATGAGAACACTTCAGAAACTGCTTCCTACTGCAAGTAAGGTATATATATATATTACATAACCAGAAGAACCCACTTTCAAACTTTAGGAATTTGTATCTATATAGGTTAGTTTAATTTTATATCTGATACTGCAGGCAGATAAAGTCTCTATATTGGATGATGTAATAGAACACTTGAAACAGCTACAAGCACAAGTTCAGTTTATGAGCTTAAGAGCAAACTTGCCACAACAAATGATGATGCCACAACTACCTCCACCACAATCAGTTCTCAGCATCCAACACCACCAACAACAACAACAGCAGCAGCAACAACAACAACAACAGTTTCAGATGTCTTTACTTGCAACAATGGCAAGAATGGGAATGGGAGGCAGTGGCAATGCTTATGGAGGTTTAGTTCCTCCTCCTCCACCACTAATGGTCCCTCCTATGGATAATAGAGACTGCACCAATGGTTCTTCAGCTTCTTTAACTGATCCCTACAGTGCTTTTCTCGCACAGGTAAAAAACCAACCCCTTTGCACTACCACTAAGTTACCAACGCTTTTGGTTTTTAACTGTTTTAGTTTCTTTGAGAAATGATTTGAGATATAAAAATCTTGAGAGCTCAATGTTGTTGGTAATTCTAATGCAGACAATGAACATGGATCTGTATAACAAAATGGCTGCAGCTATATACAGACAACAGTCTGATCAGACTACAAAGGTAAATACAAGCATGCCCTCAAGTTCTTCAAATCACGAGAAAAGAGATTAGTCTACCTGAGTACTACTATTAAGATCATTATAAAAGTTGATTGTAAAAACAATTGTATTTTTGAGTATGGTAAAAACTTGTAGAGATAAAACAACTTCCTCTTCAGTTCAGTTATTGTCAAACTACATGTATAAGTCCTTTTTGTTATTTCAAGAACAGCAAAAAAAAGAAAATTAAAATATAAATAGATCATATGCTGTACAAACATAAGTTCTTGTTTTTATTTATTTATTTTCACCCAAAGGATTAACCTTAGACTCTGATGTTTCCTCCTTACCCTGAGGTGTCTTAGTGTCTTGAAGAGAGATTACAGTTTCAAAAGCACCAATAAGAGCCTTCACTTTGGTCTTCCTCACCTTCATCAACTTATTCGCTGTCTCTTCAATCACACTGTTCAACAGTGTCATCATTTTCTTCTTCCCTTCTACCTTTCTACGTCTCAAAACCACCTTTTCACGTTTACTACTTTCACAAGAATCGGTTCTACTCTCAACAACACCTTTCAAGTTCTTAAACTTGATCTGTTTTGGAGAAGCATCTTCAAGTTTTGGTGCAAGACTCTTCCCTTTCTTGAAACTCAGCTGCTTTGCTAGAGTGATCTTTACACCTATCTTCTTAGTCTTTGCATCACCACTTTCTTTCTTCTTTCTGGTACTGACTTTACCAGGAACCTGTTTAGGAGTAGCCAAGCTTATTAGTCTACTTCTCATGGTTTTCTTCTCAGATGATCTCTTAACATCTTTGACACTAGCTTCAACAACACACACAGTCTTCTCTTTTACATCTTCATTGCTTATTGTCTGAACCTTTGCCTTCTCTTTTACATCTTCATTGCTTATTGCCTGAGCCTTTGCCTTGTCTTTAATCCTTGGAGTATAAACTTTAGAACTTTCAGCGTCACTGGTTCTTGAAACCTTCTTCATAGCAGAATCTGACTTCTCATTTCTCAAGCCAGGAACCTTTTTAACAATAACTGAACCACTACTCAGAGTACTTTCAGTTCCTTTGCTTCTAACGCTTAAACCATCAACAGACCTCACCATCTCATTATCTCCTTTATAACTAGATGTCTCTGAAGTCACAGAAGAACCACATGGTCTTTTCTTGACAGCCAATGCATCTCTCTTTGCAGCCACAGGACTCTGAGGTTTGGTATTACGAATCTGTCTACTTGGACTTCCCAACGACATCCTTCTCAAACCTGAAGTCTCAGCTTTCACCACCTCTGAACCTTCAACACTTCTTCTCCTCACCACCTTCCAAGGCTTCACAGGATCATCACGATCAGGGAGCTTCCCGTGTTTACAGAGATCATGAGTTGATGGCACATGATGATTCCCGAGGTAACGTGACTGAACCTCTAGTTTACCTCCTCGTGTACCTATCGCTCCAGTGGAGTGCCTTCTCAAGCTCACACTTGGTGGTTTAGGCGCTTCTTTAGTCACTGATACACACTCTTCTTGACCCTTTAGTGCTACAGATACAACATCTTCCACGTCTACCACATCTTTTACAATTACTGTTCTTACAGAACCTTCTTCAGACATCATCTCCTGAGGATTAGTATCAGAACAATTCTCAGTCTCTTTGATCTTTGAAGTATTCTCCTCAGCCATCACAGAATCTATAATGACCAAAAGAGTGATTAGTTATGAACAGGACATTTAGATGAATACTAAAAAAATAAACAGTATACCGTTCCCCGGCGAAAGAATGCTAAATCACCGATAACCATACATTAGGAATATTTGAGTGTAGGTGGATTCGAATTCAGTTCGCTTAGCGAAGCTGAAACGCCATACTACCACCCGATCACTAACGCATGGTTAATTGGATGAATACTATCACCCGATCACTAACGCATGGTTAATTAGATGAATACTACTTTCTGTCTAATTATCTATTATCATGAACTTGACATCATTAATAAAGAACAAATCTGTAATCAAGAATCTACTGAAATTGAGTTAACCTTCTTCTTCATTCCAACATCAATACAAGGTTTTAAATTAAAGAATCTACATTCAAAGACGGACAAATGTTTGACTACTCTGAAGATATATGTGTTGTCTGACCAAAACTTGGTCTAGTTAAATGGATAATTGAAAATAAAAATAAAAATAGATGTGTATATCCTCGTCAACCATCAATCTAAAAAACAAAATCGTAATCTGATCGTTGCATATGAATATAAATAAGTCTCTTATTTAATTTCTCAATAATATTGAGTTCTGGTCAAAATTTGAAGACAGTGACCTAATTCTACGTACTCTACACGCTTTAAACCCTAAAAGCCTGTTTTCAACTTCAAACCAACACAAACTTAACCAAAACGCAAATAAAAGATAAATCAAGAATCCTGAGAAACGATACCTTTAGATTGTTGATAGAGAAATTGTAACTTAGAATTCTCAGAGAATTACAAAAGCAGAAGACAGAAATATGAAGAGAAAAAATAATATATGTACCAGAAGATTGTCTTCCCATACGAGATTATATTCGCTTTTTTACATGGAAACAAATTGATAAAAAAAGAATAGAAGATTTGGTTATTAAGGAAAAGAAAACACACATAATTAAGTTTTTTTTTATTTGCCATGTGTGTGTTAATTTCTTGCTTAAGTTACTTAAGGTCAAATTAATAACTAAGGTTTTATGACTAAGTTTTAATTTATTACTGTAAAACTCATCATTGGATTTGTATTACAATAAAAATCTATGTATCATTATACTCTCTATATATTCTGATCAAATAATGACATTTTCAGCAATCAAATAATGAGATAATACATGAATTTAACTCCAATATAGTTATTCGCTATTATTATTCTTGTTATTATTATTATTTTTATTTTATTTTTTGCACAAAGGAAATTGACAATTTAAAGAGGTTGTTATAAGCATAATTTATGTGAAATGTGATGATTTAAAAATTGAATTTTTAAAAAACTTTAGTAGATTTAAAAATATTTTATACAGATTTTATGAAATCTTATCATATACTTTATGACATATAAAATTTTCATTCACTTATTATTATAGATTTATATATTTCCATTTCCTTGTAATTATTCTCACTAAAGTAATATATATAATTTATAGTTTAAGTCATAAAACATTAGCTATTTTTACTATATTTTAAATTTAACAAAATCTAAAAACAAAATTGATAAAGCAAAAGAAATATAATTAATGAAAATTATATATATTGTTCTTTAGAAAGATGATTTTTAAAAAATATTAAAAGATCAGAATTTGACTTTTTGCTTTAGAAAATAAAATATTTTTACAAATTATTATGACTATGAATGGCGCATGAAACCTTAGCCATGACAGAAACTATACGCCATTCAGAGTGATAATAATTCTTAATAATACTTTGTTTTCTAGAGCAAAATATCAAATTTTAATCTTTTAATCTTTTAATATTTTTTAAAAAATTATATTTCTAAATACCAATATAAATAATTTTCATAAATTATATTTCTTTTGCTTTATTAATTTTGTTTTTAGATTTTGTTAAATTTAACCTATAGAATATAAATTTTATAATGTATTTAAGATTACGTTTATTTTAATATACCTACATATTTAAATGTGCATGTTTTAGTATTTACATATTAAAATAGCAAATTAATTAACTTAATAACAGGTGCTGAAACCAAAACTAGGCAAATTGCAGGACTTAGCATCAGGTCCACAGGTAGATCTGAATCACGCTCAGTGTCGGGCCTGAGGGGATACGGTTGAAACATTGATATGGAGTTTACAAATTTGTGGGCCCACAATTAAAAAAAACATTTTTTTTTTGCATTTTTATTAAAAATATATTTATATATTAACATCCAAAGATTTTATGCAACAAAAATATATTTTCAATTGGTTATCTTTCAAGAAAAATATTTAAATATTGTTTTAAATAAAATTTTGTATAAATTATTTAATGTATATTGTAATATTTAACTTTTCTTTTAATTTTGAATGGGGCCTCCGAAATCTCAGGACCGGCCCTGACCTGCCCTGATCAGACTCCTCAACTTGCACACCTTCTCTTTCCATTGCCAAGACCTTTTGATATGTTCTTCTTCTGGATATTATCATCTCCTTGTCAACAGTTTTTGTGTTCACTACAATAATCACAGCTCTTTGGTTAGAGAGAACTCCCTGCTCATTTACACCAGTTTTTCTTCCAGACTCTTGAGGCACGGAGTTAAATTCCGATTCCTTCGAATTTGTTCAAATATTATTATGGCCTTAAAGATAAAACTCTCGAGTAAAGAAAGAAACACAAAGAGAAAAATAGAGAAACAACACATTATTATTGTCATTAACTAACTAGAGAGCAATGTTCATAATGTTGCTAGGATCTCACTCTCTTTTGTACTACTAAGCAACTCCAGCTTTCTTCATTTTCGAAACCCCTTTAGCCCCCCTTGACTTTTCTATCCCCTCAGTTCCATCAGCTCCAGTGTCAACCTCTTCATGTAGAGACTCATCAGCATCTGATAAAACATCTAACGTAACATCACACTCCTCCTCCACCCGACAAAGATAACGTGCCTTAAACTCATCATGGGTCATGTCCGCAAATCTGTTGTCTGTTAACTTATAGGGCAAGTCGAGGGAGTTGTGGGAGTCTATATACTGGATATTAGATTGGTATATCTCAAATCGTTTCATCCACTCCTCTTTTCCTCCATATACGACGTCGTGGGTTTGACACCACTTCTCAAACCGTTCCCTCGGGGTTTTGCTTTGCCTGTCTCTTCCACTGTAACCATGCTCAGAGCCACCAGAATTCCCTTGGCAAACAAAGGAACGATCTTCTTGTCCCTTTAGTGCTACAGATACAACTTCTTCCACGTTTACCACATCCTTTACAATTACTGTTCTTACAGAACCTTCTTCAGACATCATCTCCTGAGGATTACTATCAGAACAGTTCTCAGTCTCTTTGATCTTTGAAGTATTCTTCTCCTCAGCCATCACAGAATCTATAATGACCAAAAGAGTGATTAAATATGAAGAGAACAAATAAGATGAATTGAATACTACTTCGGGTCTAATTATCTATAATCATGAATTTCACATCATTATTAAAGAACAAATCTGTAATCAAGAATCTACCAACGACGAGGTAACTTAAAGAATCTACATTCAAAGAAGGACAAATGTTTGACTACTCAATCAACACCAAAACTTGGTCTAGTTAAATGGGTAATTGAAAATAAATAAATATGATCCTCGTCAACCATCAATCACATCAATACCTAAAAGAAAAAAATTGTAATCTGATCGTTGCATATGAATATAAATAAGTTTCATATTTAATTTCTCTATAATATTGAGTTCTGGTCAAAATTTGAGGACAGTGACCTAACTCTACGTACTCTACACGTTTTAAACCCTAAAAGCCTGTTTTCAACTTCAAACCAACACAAACTTAACCAAAACGCAAATACAAGATAAATCAAGAATCCTGACAGAAACGATACCTTTAGATTGTTGATAGAGAAAATGTAACTTACACTACAAGAAATCATCGTCAAAGCCGATGACATTTACCGACTACTACTCTCCTCGGTAAGTTTACGATGGGTTTCTGATTACTTTCCGAGGACATATAATTTTCGTCAGAATATTCTCGGAAATATGCGATAAACCAATATTCTCAGTGTTTTGTCGTAAATTAGTGTGGGTATGTTGTCGGAAATAAAAAATGATNACACTACAAGAAATCATCGTCAAAGCCGATGACATTTACCGACTACTACTCTCCTCGGTAAGTTTACGATGGGTTTCTGATTACTTTCCGAGGACATATAATTTTCGTCAGAATATTCTCGGAAATATGCGATAAACCAATATTCTCAGTGTTTTGTCGTAAATTAGTGTGGGTATGTTGTCGGAAATAAAAAATGATCCGACGAACTTGTTTTCTCGGAAATTTCCGAGAACATGTTGTCAGTATTTTCTCAAGCCTTTCAAAATACCGACAATCAATTTGCTTATCGGTATGGTGTCGCAAAAGCTGACGAAATTTCGTCGGAGTTCACTCGGTAAAAGTTTATCGATAATCGATTTCGTTAAGATCACAATTCCCTGTTTTTTTCCAAATTATATTTGAAATTCTATCTTTACAGGCGATATAAAATTATAACACGTGGCCAAATAATGAGTTTTGAAGGGTCTAGATGTGTCGTTAAAAAAAAAGAAGGGTCTAGATGTAGAGTTTTGAAGGGTCTCTCATGTCCACATATCTCTACTTTCTTATCTATTCCTCTGTTCTTTTTCTTTCTCCACATCTCTGTCAAAGAGAAGATCTTCTATTGCTCAACGGAGTAAAGCGACTTGTAACTGACTTGTTCGGTATTGTGTCTCCGGTTCGCGATCACTCTGCCTAGTAATTGCTGCCGATACGTGACTTTGTTGAGGAGCATCACGAGTTTAACATCTCGAGCCGTTTGTTTGTGGGGTTTACTTCTCATTCTGGATCTGGACGAGGTTGGTGTGCTCTATCTATAATATTTGCTTTTCTCCTTTTATCTTCTTCCCCCTCCCCTTTTATTTAGTTTGTATAGTTGATTTTTCTTTACAGAAAAACAACCATCTAAAACTTCCTCACACCACCGTTTGAAGACTTTGCGCCATCAGCGTCATTGCCGCAATTCCTTCCACCACCATTGCTGCTCACTCCACCCCCACCATTACGCTACCGTCGCATCTTACACTGTAGCACTTTCATCGATTTATTAGATTTTTACTACTCGTTTATTCTTATTTTCGTTTTAATTTGTGCAGAACTTTTATATATTTCTTTTTGGACAATGCAGAACTTTTATATTTACTCTGTTTATATGTAATGTATATTTGATAATTTTAATATATTTTTTTTCTTTATATTCATTAATTTTATTTTTTTTATTTAAAAATATTTGCTTGTCGGGAGTTTCTCGGCAATATATCTCGAAAGTTCATCAGTATCATCCGATGGCTTTCCGACAAGTAATTCCGACGATATTTGTTGACGGTATTTACCGAGTGACTTCCGACAAATCGAAATTTCCGAGACCCAAACGCCGACTAAAATTTAATTGTCGAAAAATTATGGGAAACGCTCGTTACCGACAAACTTCTTATTAATCTGTCCCTCGGAATGTGAGCATTATTCTTGTAGTGNTATCATCCGATGGCTTTCCGACAAGTAATTCCGACGATATTTGTTGACGGTATTTACCGAGTGACTTCCGACAAATCGAAATTTCCGAGACCCAAACGCCGACTAAAATTTAATTGTCGAAAAATTATGGGAAACGCTCGTTACCGACAAACTTCTTATTAATCTGTCCCTCGGAATGTGAGCATTATTCTTGTAGTGTTAGAATTCTCAGAGAAATACAAAAGAAGAAGACAGAAATAGGCAGAAGTATGAAATAATATATGTACCAGAAGATTGTCTTCCCAAATGAGATTATATTCGCTTTTTTACATGGAAACAAATTGATGAAAAAAAAGAATAGAAGATTTGGTTATTAAGGAAAAGAAAACACACATAATTAAGTTTTTTTTCTTTGCCATGTGTGTGTTAATTTCTTGCTTAAGTTACTTAAGGTCAAATTAATAACTAATGTTTTATGACTAAGTTTTAATTTATTACTATAAAACTCATAATTGGATTTGTATTACAATAAAAATCTCCTTATCATTACTGTCTATATATTCTGATAAAATAATGACATTTTCAGCAATCAAATAATGAGATAATACATGAATTTAACTCCAATATGGTAATTCACTATTATTATTATTATTATTATTATTATTATTATTATTATTATTATTATTTGCACAAAGGGAAATTGACAATTTAAGAGGAGAAGCAGAATTTATGTGAAATCTGATGATTTAAAAGTTGAGGGATTTTAAAAAAATCTTTAGTGTATATAAAAGTATTTTATAAAGATTTTATGAAATCTTATCATATACTTTAGGACATATAATTTTTTCATTCACTTATTATTATAGATTTATATATTCATTTCCTTGCAATTATTTTCACTAAAGTAAAATATATATACTAGGAGGTTTCATGCGCCATTCACAGTGATAATAATTCTTAAGAATATTTTATTTTCTAAAGCAAAAAGTCAAATTGTAATAATTTAATTTTTTTTTAGTTAGCTTTCTAACTAACAACATAAATAATTTTCACAAATGATTTTTCATTTGGTTTATCAATTTTGTTTTTATATTTTGTTAAATTTAAATATAGAATATAAATTTTATAATGTATATAAGATTATTTTTATTTTAATATGCATACATATTTAAATGTGCATGTTTTAGTTTTTAGTTAAAAAATATTAAAATAGCAAATTAATTAACTTAATAAAATATAGATTGTATTTACATTTAAATGCTATAGAGTAATTTATTAATAAGCTCGATGAAATGATTCAACAAATATATTTTATGGTGATCTAGTAGATCTACAAATAAATTTAACAGTTTGGTAATTTGATTAGTTGTTTCCATACCAATTAATGAATTAAATCATAATTTGAAAATTTAACTGGAAATATATTCAAAATTAATTTTGACAAAATATGAATATTTACATATTTTTATTTTTCATTTGAAAGCTAATGTAAGAACATGTATATTTATAATTATGTTTTTAGTCTAAAATTTTCATTAAGAATGATACATAAGTCATTGTTATATATTAAAAATCTTACCAAAATTTTAAAACTCTATAAATGACATTCCACATGTCATAATAAGAATTAAGATATGTCATCATTTTACAACATCATGTCATCTTTTTTAAGAATGAATGTGACAATAATACACATATAATTTTTTTTAAAAATCACTTAACAAATCATGTTTATGGGATGTTGTATCTCCAGTAGTCACTCGCCTGTATAATATATCTGCATGATGAGAGAAAGAAAAAAAGAAACCAAAACAACAAGAGATATGTGTAAATCTTGGTAATATCATATTTCTCTTTATCCTTTCTTCTAAATGTGTCGTCTAGTAAGTAGATTATATGACAAATTATTATTGATTATTATAAACTAAAGGTCTTAACTAAGTTTAGAGCATCTTCAACCCTATAACTCCGTTTGGAGTGCTTAATTTTGGCTGATTTAAATAATAATAATAATAAAAACGAATTAATCGCGAGCCGTCATGTGTTAGTGGAACCCGCAAACAGTACAAGTAACTAGCCATTTGGAGTGATTAATTAAGCATTTTAAGAATTGGTATTTAGTGTTTTTTTTGTGGAAATCCACTAACAAAAATCACTAAATACCAATGTTTTTAAACCCCAGTCGGACACCAAACCGGATGATTTATCGGGTTACTGGATCACTGGGTCGATCGCGGGTGAACCGCGTATTAATAAATTAATTAATTTTATTATATAACAATATATTAGTTATGAAAATAAAAATAAATAAAATAAAGTTTAATAATTTCTACTTTTTAAAAAAACATAAAATAATTGTTTAGATATGTATATATTTTATGTTTAAAAAACATTTAAAAAGTACTTAATTTTAGTCTTGTATTTTTGTTTTCATTTAACAAACAAAATATCAAAAATAGTTTAGACTATTTAATTTTTTTTGAAAGAAGTTAAGAGTTATGACATATAAAAAAATCAAGACATAAAGTTCATAAATATCTAACGTGAATAATAAATTAAATTCCAAATTAAAAATAAACCAAAACAAAACATCATTACAATAAATTCTCAATAACATAAATAAAATAACCCCAAATCACATCAACTAATTTTGATTTTCTCTCCCATCGTTTATTTCATTTTTTTCATGTGTCATAGTGAAATCTTCATAAAAATCTAAAAATCACAAATATAAAACTGAAAAGTGAAAACCTAACTTCTTAATTGAAAACTTAGAATATAAAAAAATCTAAAATATAATTAAAAACTAAAAACAAAAATTTATATATTAGTTCAACCGGTGATTCAACGGGGTATCGGATTTTGGGTTTTAGTGGATTTTTAAATTTTGGGTTTTTCACAAAATCCAGATCGGATTTTTGCTGGTCACTGGATTTACCGGTTCAACCGCGGATCCGGGTCGGGTAACACTGCTAAATACCCCTTAAGCACCCTCTTAATGATGCTTTTAGTACAACTTCGGTTCGGTAATAGTCGATAAAAGTACATTGGGCACGCTTTATGACAAACAATAAAGAGAGAGGAGAGACAAGACATTCCAGAGATGGCAAGACTTTGATGAAGTGTTGTCGACGCCAAGAACAAAAACAAACTTCTGCTGCTTCTGCTTGCGATTCAGAAACGACTTAAGACCATATGGATGCGTGATCACTCTTCTTAGGTCAGTTTCTCTATTCATGAGTTTTCATTTTGGTATTTGCTTCATCTCAATTAGACTCTCATCTCTCTTCGAGCTTATGTTTATTAAAGTTTACTACATGAACCATATAAGAGTAAACAGATATTAGTATTACCTGGTGGACTTCGAATTGACTGTCAACAACTTCGTCACTTCGACCAACTTGCATTTTGAATTATAATGACTCCTTCCACCAAACGAAGAAGAATTACTAGGGCCGTAACTTATATATTTCTATTTTTGACGCGTAGAATTTAATTTAAACCACCCAAAAGTCAACTAATGCTCTTGGGCATGCATGCGTCTCTGGAAACATGTTTGACCAATCAACCTACATCAAATTAAAACGTATAGCAAAGTTTAATTGTAATTTATAGATAGTTTTAAAATAATGAAACTTGCATATACATTTCAAAAAATAATACTAACATGGTTTACTTTTTCATCATAGTTTTTTGAATTATTTTTATTTTCTTAAGAGAATGGTCTGCTTATACCAATTGAACAAGCCACCAATTATTAATTTTTATTTTATTTTAAGGTTTATCACTATAGAAATGTTCTTATTTAAAATTCAGTTTCATCTGTAATCATTTGCTTGTTGCCTTGTTCTGATACGCAGGTTTGAGTTCTGTTCTTCTTCTTCCTCTGTATTGTATTTTCCTTTTTCTTGATATTTATTGCAAGAGTTCTTAGCTCCTCAACTAATCTCTCTCAAAATTTCACTTTTATGTATTACGTTTCCTTACTTTCAGATCAACCGATTGAGACGTGCGTCACAAACAAACCAAAAAATGAACTACATCGTTTGTGTCCTCATGTTCTTGACTTGTCAACTTCTACTTGGTCTTACTTCTTCTGCTACCAACATGGAACAAACCACTATTGTAATAGACGGTACACATCAAATCGCTGAGATCGATGAGAACTTTGTCTGCGCAACACTTGATTGGTGGCCACCTGAAAAATGCAATTATGATCAGTGTCCATGGGGCTACGCATCTCTCATCAACTTGGTAATATTACAAAAAACACCTTTGAGCTTTGACCACTTAGAACATGGTTAATACGTCTCTTAGTTCTTTTAGTTAAAAGGTAAGATACTGTATCTTATATTACGCTAAAAACCACACCCTAAGAGATCGCATTAATCATGCTTTTAGTACCCTCTCTTACTTACATCTTAATGTTTTTTTTTCCAAAATGGTTTCAGAACTTGTCTTCTCCTCTTCTTGCTAAAGCTATTCAAGGTTTGTGTAACCTCTAATCACAAACCATGTTCTCATCCCAACATACTTTATGCTGAAACATCTTGAATCTTGTTAGCTTTCAAGACGCTGAGGATAAGAATAGGTGGCTCCTTGCAAGATCAAGTGATCTACGACGTAGGAGACTTGAAGACTCCTTGCACTCAGTTCAAGAAGACTAACGATGGCTTGTTTGGATTCTCTAAAGGATGTTTGTATATGGATCGTTGGGATGAACTAAACCGTTTCTTCCACGCAACAGGGTTAAGTAAACAAGGCTTACTAGTATAGATCTTTGACTTTAGTCCACTATGACCTAACTATAGTTCTGCAGGGCTATTGTGACTTTTGGTTTGAATGCGTTATACGGTAGAGAGAAGCTCAGAGGCAATGCATGGGGAGGGGAGTGGGATCATACCAACACTCAAGATTTCATGAACTACACAATCTCAAAGGGTTATGCTATAGACTCATGGGAGTTTGGTATGTACCAACTTAGAGCATGTTTATTGCAAGTCTCTTAGGTTGGATTTCTTATTGTAATATAAGATATGGTTTCTTAGTTTTTAACTAAAATAGATTATCTTAGTTAAAAGCTAAGAGATCATATCTTTTATTACACTAAAAAACCCAACCTAAAAGACCTGCAATAAACATGTTCTTAGATCTTTTCATCTGTCTACTTAATTTTTAATGTTATTAATCTCTTTATTGGCTCTTGACTAGGTAATGAGCTTAGTGGAAGTGGGATTGGAGCAAGTGTGAGTGTAGAACTTTACGGTAAAGACTTGATTATACTGAAAGATGTAATCAAGAACGTTTACAAGAGTTCTCAGACCAAGCCATTGCTCTTAGCTCCTGGTGGGTTCTATGAAGAAAAATGGTACTCAGAGCTTTTTCGCCTCTCTGGACCTGGTGTTCTTGATGTCATGACTCATCATATATACAATCTTGGTCCAGGTATGCATTAAAGATTCTCTTCTTTTGTAGCATTACTAAAACAATGTGAGTGTTTGAGTTACATTGAATCTTTTGCAGGGAATGATCCAAAGCTTATGAGTAGGATACTAGATCCAAAGTACTTGAGCGGATCAGTTTTAGGAACATTCAAGAATGTTGACAGAACGATTCAAGAACATGGAGCTTGGGCTTCTGCTTGGGTTGGAGAAGCTGGAGGTGCTTTTAATAGCGGTGGACGTCAAGTTTCTGAGACATTCATTAACAGCTTCTGGTAAGAAACGATCATAATCTTTGCTAGGTTTTGTTTGATGATACTAACCAAAAACATGTTCCTTGTTAGGTATCTAGATCAGTTTGGTATGTCGTCTATGTACAACACTAAAGTATATTGCAGACAAGCTTTGGTTGGAGGTTTCTACGGTCTGCTCGAAAAGGAAACTTTTGTTCCCAATCCAGATTACTACAGTGCACTTCTTTGGCATCGTTTGATGGGTAAAGGCGTTCTTGGCGTTCAGACAAATGCATCAGAGTATCTACGGACTTATGTTCATTGCTCCAAAGGAAGAGTGAGTCTGTATGTCTTTATCTCTCTGTCTATAAATGATGCTCTAGTTTTGTGACCATGGAATCTATCATCTCAGGCAGGGATAACGATTCTTCTGATTAACCTGAGTAAGCAAACGACGTTTACGGTCGGAGTCAGCAATGGCGTGAAGGTGGTTTTGCAAGCAGAACCGAAGAAGAGGAGATCTTTCTTGGAAACGATCAAGAGCAAGGTTTCTTGGGTTGGAAGAAAAGCTTCTGATGGATACTTGAACAGAGAAGAGTATCACTTGAGTCCAAAAGATGGTGACTTGAGGAGCAAGATTATGCTCTTGAATGGTAACCCTTTGGAACCAACAGTCACTGGAGATATCCCAAAGCTTGAGCCGGTTCGCCATGGTGTTAAGTCTCCTGTTTATATCAATCCATTGACTATCTCGTTCATTGTGTTGCCTACCTTTGATGCTCCTGCTTGTTCATGAAGACATGACGATCTTTTGGTTATCTGTAAAATTGAAAACTTGAATAACAAAAACTGTTATTTTCTTGGTAACTGTATGCATACACATGCTATTGAACAATACATATCAAACTGGTTGATTCCAATTCAGTTTCTTCTTACTTTCAATCTTCAATAGTTTATCATATGATTAAGGAGAAATATGGATCAGTGGGATGTGTCTTACTATACAATATGAAGATAAAAAACACTTGTTGTCTATGTTCTCTTTCATTTTCAAAGATCAAGACCATACAAAACAGCAATTGTGAAGAAAGCTAAAGTGGCACCATCTCTAGGTAGGTCTGAGACCTTTTCTCTATAACCTCCTAGAATCTTCTACCTCGTCATCAGACAGCAAAATCGGCATCAGAAACTTCAAGAACTTTGTGAGTACCAATTGGGTTCACGCCTTGTTTGAACATGTTGCCTTCAATGTACCTGCAAAAATTGAAACAGGTCTCCTTATTGTCAATAGTGAAGACTGAAGAAAGAAAACCTAAAACTTTGTCTGCAAAACTAGTCACATTATTCAAACTCTAAACCTCCGAGATTCACTGTTATGACTGAGTTAGGTAGGAACTCACATTTCTTTGAGGAATGGGTGCTTGTAGAATGCGTCTGGGATTCTCCCACTAAATTGGTTGTGATCAAGATACCTGGTTTCAAAATGAGCACATGAGAACGCATACTTTGTTTGGATTGTAAGAAAAAATGAGCTAAAGATTGAAAATAAACAGTCAAACACTCAAAAAAAAAACTTACAGGAATGTCAGCTTAGGAATATGAGCAATGGCAAAAGGAATGTTTCCGATGAGTTTGTTGTAAGACAGGTACCTACAAAATGAAGTAACCCGAGATTAGAGTTGACACAATACGGTTTGTTGTAGATATCCTAATGTGTAGTGTAGGATGCTTACACAATCTCTAAGCTTGTAAGATTCGATAGCTGCGCAGGAATTCCTCCACTCAAATAGTTATTATTCAAGTACCTAAACGATCCGAGATTTAGAAAGAGAAAAACCACTGTGTATAAGAGAAGCCAAAGAGCAAGTTATGAAGGGATGCTTACAGGTTGCGAAGAGATGGGAAACTACCATCAAAACGGATGAGCTCCCTTATAGTTCCTACCAAATGATTGTTACCAGCATCTCTGAAAAAAAATAAACCAAAACCAAATGTCAGTAATGATAAAAGAACCAAACTGTACGTAGAGGATGGGAACTAGGTGTTTACAGATGGCGGAGGTTTTGAAGCGTCCCCAGTTCAGCAGGAATTCTACCAATGAGACGGTTTTCTTGAAGGTATAGATACCGAAGCTCAGGAAGAGCAGCCAGTTCCTTTGGAATCTCTCCCTTGAAGCTATTGAAGCTCAAGTACCTATAAAGATACAAAAACAAATCATAATTTCATCTGGACGCAAATGGACAATCATCAGAAGCTAAACAAGAGGTACACTTACAAATGCGTAAGTCTCTTCAGCTCTCCAATCTCAGGAGGAATCACATCTTGTAGTTTATTCCATCTCAGGTTCCTTATGTTCACAAGAGATTAAACAATTAGGTAAAATATTTGGAAGTATTGTGGATGATATGATGATCAAATAATAACAAATTTCTGTCACATAACATCTTAGATTCAAATCTGTGTTCCTAAAGAAATTTGGATACTATCCTAGAGTTTGATCTCAGAAGTCAGAACTCTAACAATATATGAGTGTAAGAGCACAAGGAACATACAGGACTTTCAGCCGTTTCAGACGTCCAATCTGTGGAGGGATAGGACCAGTGAGCTTGTTGTTATGTAGATCCCTGAAAAAAATCAAACAAATCATTTTCATTTTAACCGTCTCAAAAACATCAAAAGCTCTAACCAATTCTCACAAGCCACTTCCTCTAAAAAAAAAATCAAAGATTTCCTAACAAAAATCTACTAAAAATAAAAAGGTGTTACATAGCAGCTTAGCTTACAGTCTAGTCAGATCCAAAAGGTTTGTAACTGCAATAGGGAAAGGTCCAACAATCGAAACCGCGTAAACTTCTCTGCAAATCAGAAACATCAAAAACCCAACAGTTCAGTAAAAATCAAATCACTGCTGTTAAACAAAAAAAAAACATTTTTTAAAGAAGTAAGAAACTTACAATTCAGTAACAACTCTATAGTCACCTTGTGTAGAACAAGTGACACCAGACCAAGGAGGAAGGTCTCCATCTCCACAAGGATCATCACCCACCCATGAATACACCACTCTCCATCCCAATGATGCTTTTATTTCATTCAAAGCTTTCACTGTCCCACAACATCAAGATTAGTACAGATTCTATCAGATCTAATCATTGTTCTAAACATGAATCTGAAAAATTCAGCTCAAATTAATAAAGAAACTGAACGAAAATGTAAAGAGCTATTGGTTACCATCTCGCTTGAGCGTCTTGGAGTGAGTGAGAGCAAGGAAGAGAGACAAGACGCAGATCAGAAGTAGATCATAGCGAGAAGCCATGGTTTCTCTCTTTTGTCTTAACAGCTCGAGTGTGAATGGGAATGAAACGGATCTAAGAGGCGAGCGATTTATAAAAGGGAAGCCTTATTTTTTTTCTCTTCTCTTCCTCCTGAGATTCGTTAACCGATAACGTGTTTTCCAAACCGGCTTCACACCGACGGGTTTGCTAACGACCCGGGTCTAACAGATTAATTGGTTTTTAATTAACCGTATCCGGTTTAGTATTGTGGTGTTAATTGGTTTTGTATTTATCATATGATCAGATTAATTTGCCTCTTTATGGAACTCCGAAGATACATATTCTAAAAAAAAAAAATTTTCTAAAAAATCCATTTTTTACATTTTCAGTGCATGTTTTATTAACTAATTGTAAACTTCAAAAAATTTAATTGCACTAATTGATTAAAATTTGTTCTTAAAAATCTATTTTTTATATTTTCAATGCATATTTTATTAATTAATTATAAACTTCAAAAAATTTAATTGCACTAATTGATTTTTATTGGTTTAAAATTATAGAAAAAAGATAAATACAAAAAAACTATGCAAATTTATTGTATTTTATTAAAAAGTGTGAAAAAACTAGAGTATTTATTTCGTTTTAAATATCATTTCATGTTTTCAGTGTATTTATTTGACAGTTTTCTAATTTTATCCACATTCTTTTGGTTTATTAATTAAACAAAATAAGTATTAATTTAAAGGTAAAATAATAAATTTAATGATTTTTTTAATCTTTGTAGGCAGATCTACAACCATAAATAAATTAAAACGGAAGAAGTAATTGGTTGATCCAGAACCGGTTAACCGAAAGCAAGCGTTAAACCAAAGTTGGGTACCTTACCAAACACAAAGTTCAACATATCACACATTACATGATTCACTTAACACAAGATTAATTATGCACCGCATTACCCGCAGTTTTAACATATAGCTTTATAAAACCAACACACAAACCATAACATTCTTCTCAGTTCTGACAGTTTCTCTCAACGGCAAGACTCGAGAAAAACCAGAGCAAAAAAAGACAGAAACAAAGATCAGTTCTCCGAACTGCAAGATGTGTCTCCACCAGAACACGAAGAAGACTCGCTGTTAAGCTTCTTCATCTCCTCATACGCCCACTCCAACCCATGACAGTAATGCACCGGCGGATTAAACCTCGTATCACTTATATCATCAGGCAGAAACGCACCATTCTCCACCAGAAACTTCACAGCTTCCCTCTTCCTCTCTTTAGCCGCAGCATGTAAAGGAGTCCACCCGCAGGATCCCCACGTTCTCGCATCAATGTTAGCCCCACGCTCGAGTAACCAAAGAAGAGTTCCTCACTTATGCTATGAAGACACAGATTTACATTATCTGATTGGTGTAAATCTCACTCAAGAATGTCTAAAGCAGGTAACACTTCAGGTATTGCAAACAATATCTAAGAGTAGACACTGAAACTTATGTAACTAGATTAACGAGAGTGATTGGCGATGCAGTAAGGGAAAGAGGGATTCAAACCAGGGCCAAAGACACTAAGGTTTTGAAGGATAACAGTAAAAGCCATAGACAGTGGAGAGAAAATGAGCATCACTTTAATGATTAGGGATCATCCTCGTGGAGCACATTCGAGACTAAACCTTAGCGTTTACCCCCAAAAATTTCTCAGGCAAGAAAGCACCAATGATCTGCCAACAACAAAAAAAAAAAACAAAAATAGTGAAAACACACATCAACAAAACAAGAGCATCAAAAGCCCTAATCGCTCGCACGCAATCCATAATCTTTCTCTATAATATGTAACATATGACCACATCCATCACGCATAGTTTCATCTCTGTGTAGACCAATCTAAACAAGAAAACTAATCAAAATTAAAGCATACGAATCCAATTATGAATACCAACGGCGAAACAATCGAATCAATTTCAAGGAGAGATGAGACTACAAGCAAGAAAGGATTTAGACGCATACTGAATCGAGATCGTACCGTACAGAGCTGAAGCTTGGAGTTAGAGATGATGTTTCTCGCTGAGGAATCTAAAGAGTTGGCGCTAGGGTTTTTTTTCTCGTCGGCGATGGAATCGAATTGGAAGAGGACGAAGACGGAGAGAGAGGAAGATGAGTTTTGTTTACTATTATTTTGTTGTGTGCCGTCGAATATGCCAGCTCATACAAGGCTTATCACGCTATCTGTTTAATATAAATGGGCCTTAATTTTCGGCCCATTTTATAAACCGGTTTTTAGATTATTTTCCCGGTTTAGTTTCGGGTAAACTATAGGTTTATGTAGGACACTTTCTAACGGAGAAACTCATTGTTGGCGTGAGGGAACTAAATACCCTCCGGCGTATTCATTCTGGTAATGTTATATATGGATTTTTGAGTTCCTTATCCGTTAAATTCAATGTTAATTGGTAGAAGTAGAACTATTGGCTAATTTGGTCGGGTGATTCTTGTCTCTTTTGGTGAAATTTGGTCGGAACAACCTCTTGTGCTTCAGATGCTCTTGTCTAATTGATTGTTTTTTTATGGTTCTTGTTGGTTGTAATGGTTCTTTTTGCATATGAATTTACTGGAATTGAATGCTGATAACGAATCTCCTCACTTGATACATTTTTCTGGAAAAAAATTAATTTTAATTTTTGTTTTTTAGAGAAAATTAAGTTATTTTGCGTTTATGATGTTCTTGATTCAAAGGAATGCGACTTTAGCCGTTATCTTGACTTCTTCTCTTGGCATTGCTGATTATTGTCCTGCGTTCCCGTTAATATATTCTTATACTGATTGGTTGCATTCTGAGCAGGATTAGTTTGCAATGGTAGCTAAATTACAAGTCATCAGCCTCTGTCGTTCCCTGCTTCGAGCTGGACGTAAGTACCCTGACTACAACATCAGGGAGTACACAAAGCGAAGGGCCTTGGATGGGTTCCACATGAACAAGAATCTCACTGACCCGTCAAAGGTGAAGGAGGTTTATGCTGAAGGTAAAGCACAGCTGGAGGTTGTGGAGAGGGCTCTCAAGGTTTACTTGGCGTATCCTCCCAAGACCAAGAACATCATGGAACTCAAGGTTCAGTAGTAGGGGTGTGTGTTTTGTCATTTTTCAAGCTATTTTGTTATTTGATTATTGGTCATTTTGGAACTACCATTTTGTACTTATTGGGTTTTGAGTTGTGATTGTGAATATGGTTGATGAACTAGTGGTGTTTGAGTGGGATATTATTGATTCACTTGTATTATTTTCTTATGGAATATTTATTTATGTGCTTTTTCTCTGATCTTTGTGTCTTATGGATTCAGACATTATGAAGTGAAGAGAGGGCATTCATGGATTAGAGCAGAGATAAGAGTGAAGAGAATTAAAGAGTTTCTTTTCCTTTGTGATTTTTCTTAATAATCTTAACCCAACTTTTTTGTATGCTTGTGTCCATCTTTAGCATTGATGATGTAAGGTTATATAAATCTGGAATTTATACACACTATTCATCTGTATGATAGTGAAAAACAACAGCAAGATTGCTTGTATTTTGCACAATAAGATTTTTTTGGTTTTTTTTCCATAATAATATCAAATGCAAACATAGACAGAAACGTATATTACATGATAAGAATCGTTTTTGAGTTTTAAGCAACAAAGATCACTGAAGATGGAACAAAAGAGGAAGTAGTGTAATAATGACTAATGAGCATATAACTCTGTTCATTACTTTCCGAGTAAACGGCGGCCGCGTTGGTTTGATTGTTGCACTCTGAAGTTGAGTTCGTCAACATCATCTTGAAGGTGATCAAGTCCTTTATTCTGCTTCTCGATTTCACTTCCCATATCAACCGCCATGTTCTTTAGCTCTCCCAGTAGATCACTCAAATCTGAAAGCCCATCGTCTTGCTTAGCCTTTTCCATCTGCCATAAACAAGTACAATTTTAGCAAGATTACAGACAAGAGACAAATGTTAAAGAAGCTGGCTATGGATGTTCATCAATGTCACAAGTTTCGATCTCTGTGCATTTCCATAAAAATCATGCAACACTTATCTCAGATAAGGCAGTATATTAAAAGAGAGGGAAGAGAAGTTCTAACCTCAACTCTCTGATATGCATCAGCTGATTCAGGGAGCGGTTCTCTGGTTCTTGATTGTGCTTTTGGTGCTGGGTTTAGTCCCAGTTTCTCCCTTTTCTCCAAGTGGTTAATTCTTCTGGTTGGCGAGTGATCTATGCAGGCAGTAAACACACAGAAAGGGAATCACTCAATCAGGGAAAAAGCAAAAAAACAGCAGCGAGAATAATCAAGGAATGAATTGACCAAGGAGAAGCAAACCTCTAGTAATGACTGGACCACTTATAGGGCGAGTCTTCTTCGGCTTCCAAGTCTTTGAAAACATACCTCCAAGGCTTCCAAGAAGCTTCTCACCCTACAAATCAAAAAAGCAACATAACTAAGCATCTCAATCAACAAACCTCATGTCATGTGACTCTCTTGTAAAAAAAGAAGCTTACTCTACTGAGATCATGATCAATCTCAACAGCTTTATGATGCGTCCTCGTAATCTGCTCACCCTGCTCATGCAACATAACCAAAGTTCTGGTCGCATCAGACCTAATATCTTCAGCTACCTTAAGACAACTCTGTACAGATTTAGTAGTCTCTTCAGCCTTGTACACAGCGTAACCTTCAAGCTCCTGAACAGACTGGCTTTCGACACCACCGGAGTCGCGGAAGTTGTTCTTGTATTGGTATCTTGAGTTAGAAGTCAATGGCCCCTGCTTGGATGAAGCAAACCCTTTCTGAACATCCTCACCGTCAAAAGGGTTGGCTATTTCAGCTAAAGAAGGTTCGGAGGAAGTCCTCTTGGAAGGGTTTAGTGTGTGTTTGTTATCCAATTCATCATCTGAATCGAAAGGATTAGGCTTGGAAGTATGGTGAAAGCCTGGATCAGCAGAGTTGTGCTTGGGAAGCTTTGCTGGAGATTTCCTCAGACCAAACATTGTCTCCTCTCTCAGAAGTAATCTTTTCAGTGAAACTTAATGAAAACTTGGATTTGCTTAGTAATAAACGTTTCCTTCCTGTAGAGATCAAAACAGTAATTAGGATTTGATGGTGTGAATCTAAAACTTTAAAGCTAAGAGACTAAAAGTAAAATTAAAAAAAAAAAAACAAAGCTTTAAAGTTCATCAAATCAAGATCCATCAATTACTCAACTTGTGAGAATAGCTTACACGACGACCATATAACACAGCAACAGTAAAACATGGGACTTATCACAAACTAAGTTTTTAAATTTATAACATTTAGACCAAAAAAAGAAAAAAGTTTTCAATTTAAATATCAAGTTTAAACCTAATTATGAAGCTAAAGACTATGATTAGTTCATACAAAAATTCGGACGAATCGAAAACCTTAGGATCTTTATCAAAAGAAGGAGAAATCTGAAAATTGAGGACTGAGAGAGAGTAGATCGGGGTTTAACCTGGATGAGCGAAGAAGTGGAGATGATAAGAGAGAAGAAGAGGAAGAAGAGGATTGGGTAGTTAATGACAAAGGAAGGACCAAATCAATGCGAAGACGAAGAAGAAGGGATCAAATCAACAAAAGGGAGTTAACGCGGAAACGACTTAGAACGACCCACGAAATTTTAACTTTGTGTTGTTTTGTTGACGATTTTTAATTAATCTCAAGCAGAGAGGTTTAAAAACAGATATATATTGTTCTCAACAAAAGAGCGTGTTAAACAAATATTATTAAACTCAGCACTAATAATATCTTTTTTGATTCCCACCAAAAATAAAAATAATATCTTTTTGATAATTAACTCAATATTCTTCTTTTTTTAACTCAATATTGAATAATGATGTTTTAGAATTTAGTCATTTACACACATTAATAAATAAATATATATATATATATATATATATATTTTTAATGAAATTTTATATTTTAATTTATTAATTGCTATTAGTTTTATTTGCTTTTTACCACTTATATTTTCAGATGTTACTTTATGTTTTACTTTTCGAATAAAATTGATTAGTTAAAATTTAAATATCAGTTTTTGTATATAAATAAAAAAAAGTTCAAACATCAGTCAGTTGTATTTGGAGAAAATATTATTTTGTTTCCCAAAATAAATTTATTATTGTCCTGTCTTTTTTTTTGGACAACTTATTATTTTCCTGTCTATTTTGCACACCCAATGGTTCTATGAGTGCATGGGAGCCATCCCAATTCCCCATTTTGACGTTTTGGTGTCTATGTCATCTCAACTTGTCTTTCAAAAAGATCCCCTCTTTGTTGAATTTGTCAAATAACATATTCTACCCCCAAAAACATTCTACTTGAACATATCTTAGATTGTTTGACAATGATGCATTAGTATTTTACAATTATTCAAGCTAAATTTCTACCATTTGACATTTTAGTTATAATAAAAGGAAAGTTGAAAGCTTCACAGTTTAAATAAATTACTGATTTTTTTTTTCTTTTGTATAAGTGTATTCAAGATTTGACTATGAGATGAGTTAATATATATACCAAGTTAGAATTTTTTGAAAAAAAATTGGAGAACAAGTTAGATTAGGTTTTTCTTAAAGTCCAAGCTGGATTTTGTTAGGTTAAAACTTTACAACTCTATTTGATTAAATAATACACACAACTAGTTGTTTTCTTTACCCATTCATTTATTTCTTTCAGTTTCAGTTATAGATAATATTTATTTAAATAGGCTGGGTTGACTATTTATTTTCCCACGAGAAGTATCATATAGCACCAAATGTCCATAGAACTATGACCATGTTTTATTTACCCCCGAGAATATTTAAATGCCTATAGATCAGCATACAAGTTACCTGCAGATGAACACTATTTCAGAGACAGACAAAGAACATGAAACCTAATTTCAAAATAACATGCTCTTAATCTAATGTGGTTCTAAATTGGTTTAAATTACTTTAAACCAAAAATAAATCTAAACCAAATTTCAAAATTTATTAACAACCAATATCAGTCGCTATAAACCAGAGTCTAATTTAAATTAAATTGTAATATATGTGCATTTAGTCAGAAATTTGAATAATGTCCCATTCTAATAACCAAAATTTATTTTAAAAGTATGCCGTCAAAGACGACAAAACTCTGCCACCAAATGAATACAAAAAGCGATTACAAATTTAAGTCCGGTAAACATATCTGTCATAAAAACATATCGGTCTCAAAATTCTAACTACACCCGAAAAAAACTGATAATTTCAACATAAACGATTATTACATTAGACAGACTAAAATAGATAAATCTATCGACAACCTTAAATCGGACACACAAATCTGCCATCGTAAAAACATCTTCTGTGACACAAAAGCCTGCCACCAAATACATGGCCGACATAATTTTGAGAACAGTTTAAATTAACAGATTTATATTTTGATAGATTTGTTTTACGTTAAATAAATTTGCCGTCGGAGTTTTTTAGAAGAAAATAAATGGCAATTTCGAAATATTACTCTTTGGTCATAACTGTAAATAAGAGTATTTTGGACATAAAATAATATTAGTAATTTTAAATTTTTATGAGTTATTCTAGTAATTTTTAATTTAATTTGATTTTTTCTAATAAACTACCTTAACTAATAATATGAACTAGACTCTGATCTACACGACCGCACGGATATTTATTTCAGTTTTTAATTTGTGTTTGTACTATAACATTATGAACAATAACAGTTTTAAAAATTACTTCCAGTAAAGATTTTATTTCTTTTTACAATTGTATCATCGATAATGGTTATCATATAAACAAATCTAACATTAGCCAAGACCATTTCAAGTGGTTCTACGGTGAATCAGTTTAACTAGCACACACTATCTATTTTTGTAAGGTTTGACCTTGTTAAGCAAAGTAAAACTTTTGTTTGTTAACATGGTAGTTTTTCTTTCCGATAGAATGTGATATCGAAAAGTGTTTGTAAGTGAAACTATATATAATGAGAAAACTAAAACCATAGAGTAGAGAATATACGTTAACTTAGGCAATATCACGTCTAAATTAAATTGTAATATATATTTGGCATATAAAATATGAGAAAATGGTCATTAAAACCTTGAATTTTCATATTAAAGTCAAAAATACTTTTAACTCGTGTTTGAGTAAAAAAAAATCTCCAACTTTCATATATTGGTGGTTTTAACTCTTACATTTTGTTGACTTGACCATTTAAGAAACTCAAATAGTCAACTTTTAAACGCGATTATAAAAATAGAAGTATGTTAACTCTGTAAACGATGTCGTTTTAAAATATTAGTCAAAAAACATTGTTTTGTTTCTTTAAACACTTAAAATATCTCCCTTGCGAAAACATCTCCCTTGCGAAACTAGAGTCCAAAATCGACTTCATCTTCTTGATTTGAAAGGAGAAAAATGAAATCGATTCACGAATAAAAAGTTTTAAGTGTTTACAAAAACAAAACGACATCGTTTGATTAATGTAATCAGTTTTTAAAACAACATTGTTTATTAAGTAGGTTCATTCTTTCAAGAAGTCTCCAGAAGATAGAGATGCACTAAGATGATCAAAACGTTCATAACCAAACCATTTCTACAAATGTAGGAAAAACAGAGTCATACTACATGGACTTTTTTATTCATATTAGAGAAGATGAATACATTCGTTTATCAAAAAGAAGATGAAGACATTCGATGCAAAATATATGTCCTAAAAGAAATGAGTTTTTAATTTCTAATAGTACCTTTTTCCAATTGAAAATATTTCATATTCCATGGACAGAGTTTGCATTATAAAAGAACTAGAAGAACAACAATCGAGATAAAAAAAAACACGTTATGTAAGACTGTTCTCTTGGCTAAATTTTAATAGGGTTTATTTGCCAAATAACCAAAACAATAAAAAAATGAGTTTTCTAGTGAGAGGATAGAAAAAGATAGAAAAAAATGAAGAGGGAAAGAAAGATTTTAGTTAGTTAGTGAATTTAGGATTTTTATGGTTATCTCACTTAATTTTTTATTTTAATATTTCACTAGATCATGATTCGTGCATCTGTGCGAATTTTATTTCTCAGATATATTCTATACTCCCTCCGTTTTATATTAAGTGTCATTGTAGAGAATTTTTTGTGTTACAAAATAAGTGTCGTTTTCGGTTTTCAATGCAAAATTTATTAATTTTATTATGTAATTTGTTTTTCTATTGGTTAAAATATGGTTAGGTGTGTGGGTAATTGTGTTTTTATATAGGAAATATGTAAAATTAATTGTTTCCTTAATCCGTGTGCATAGCTGTAGAGTGACATTTATATTGAAACATAGGGAGTATAAGTTATTTTTGTATAAAAAAAAAATATAGAGAGAACTCTGTTAACCTACGATTAGTTGTAGCAAAACTAATGTAATTTCTCAAAAATAAATGAAATATATTATATAATAATATATTAGCTATGAAAATAAAAATATAGAAATTAAAGTTAAATATTTTCTAAATATTTTTAAAACATAAAATATATTAATATACAAAATATCAAAAACTAGTTTAGACTATTTAATTTTTTTATAATAAGTTAAGAGTAATGACATCTAAAAAAATCAAGATATAAAATTCATAAATATTTAATTATCTAATGAGAGTAATAAATTAAACTTCAAATTCAAAATACACCAAAAGTAAGACATCATTGTAATAAATTATAAATAACAAAAATAAACTAACACCAAATCACATCAACTAATTTTGGTTATCACTACCACCCTTCAGTTCATTTTATTCAGGTGGTAGAGTAAAATCTTCATCAAAATTTAAAAATCACAGATAAAATAGTGTACTAGGTATTTATATGATAAAAAGTCAGAAAGTTTAATATAAATTTTAAGAAAAAGACGGCAATGCCAACAACTAAAACGTGAAAACCTAACTTTTAATTAGAAATTTAGAATATAAAACAGAACAATTCAAAACTTTTTTTAAAAAAGTAAAAGTTTATTTATTGGTTCAACCAGTGGTTCAACCGACATCGGGTTTTGAGTTTTAGTGGTTTTTTCAGATTTTTGCGGGTTTTTTAATTTTGGATTTTTAACAAAATGCGAACCAGATTTATTTTCGGTTACCGGATTTTCTGGTTCAACCGCAGGTCCGGGTCGAGTTTCAACTGAACCGAAACCAAAGAACCGAATCAATGATGGTCCTAATTTTACGATCCAAACCGAACCTGAAACTATCCGAACCGAACCGAAAATATGTCAAGTAGTAAATGGATCTCTAAACTTTTATCCAAACTATCCGATAACCGAAATGCCGAGGCCTAGTATAAAGCATTCAACTATAAAGACTATTTACTGTCTACGATTTGCTCATTTTAGACAGTAAACTTTTGATTTTGTTTCTGATTTAAAGTCTTTCAAATCTACCTGGAAGATACGGATTAAAATTATTCGTCTGTGGAAACAATATTCCGGTGCTAGCTGTGAGAGAGACAATAGAATTGGTCACATTCGATTGTAAAATTTCAAAGACTTATTATATCACCTTGAATCTAATAAGCAATAAACAACCATGAAGATAGATTTGGCCACCCAGTTTGATTCTTTTCTCAAACAAGGTGCTTCAAAAATGATGGTCAATTTCTCCTTAACGCACTCATATGGATCGTATCACGACAACCAAACATTTGGTTTTTGTTTCAGACGCCACCTTGCGACCTTGGGTGAAAGATGTACGTTCCCTTTCAGACTTTTATTATTATTCATTGTGCCTTTTCTATCTATATATGCCTGAGGTGAGATCTTTCTTGCTGCTACTAGATCGCTGCTAAGTTTCTTTAACCAGAAAAGAAGACTATTGATCTTGTTGGTAATGATAAAATGAAGGCCAGTAATAGTGTTAGGACACATTGTTCTTCCCTATAATAAACAAGCATTGTCTTCTTATCTTGATAACTATGAGTCCTGTGATAGGTATATGTTCACACACACTTGAACATCAGTCTTAGAAATGTAAATATTCACCTAATAGTATGTCAAATGCAGTGTGGTTCCTTGCAAAATCTTTTGTACAAACAGCGGTTGGAGGTCTATTCATGGTTTTTCATTTGAATTACTTTTTTAAATTGTTGTGTCAATGCAAAGTACTACAGAGTTTTGAACCATCTTTTGTTGCAGGGCTTCACTGAGATAACGAAAAGGTCACTTCTAACATCAATGGAGAACCATGTGACGCTGTTTCTTGAAGCAGGGGAAACCCATTCACATTGCATTGTAAGCTCATCTCCCTTTTTTACTCTGCTTGTTTAGTCTTTGCTAACATTCAAAAGAAAATACTAAAAGATGTTTGTGGTTCTGCAAATTTGTATTTGGTACACTAAAGAGAATCTTACCAGAAGACAAGATTGGAGTTGTTTCTTCATATCAGTTTGCGTTTAATAATTATTTCATAGTTAACGTAAAACTATGATCACTTGTTCGTTTGCATTTAGCAAAAAAAAGCCATAGCTCTTGGTCAAAAACTCAAGCTCGTGGCCACAGTTGCTGGTCTCTTCTGACTCCAGCCAAGGCAGGGATCTGCAGATCAATAACAACAAACAAACAAACTATTTGTTTTCTGGAATTCATATGAGACAAACAAATCTGAATTCATGGATGTAAGCTCAGGTGTGTGGAGCTAGCACTCTTCAGAGACAACAATATGATCAGCAAATTTTACATTAGACCATCATGTTGAAAATCAGTATGCCATTGCTCTCCAAATGTTGATGTTTAGAAAGAAAATCAAAGAGATAACTAAAAAAACATTATATATACTCATGGGTTATCCGCATTCATGCTTCAAAAATCTACTCCCTCCGTTCCACAATATAGGATGTTTTATCCAAAGCACAAGAATTAAGAAACTTAACTTTTTAAAAGATAACATCATTGATAGTATAAATTTAAAATAAATTAACCAATCATAAATAATAAACTAAAATACTATTGGTCAACCGGTTTTCTATAAAGTTAAAATACCTTAAAAATATCAAAACATCTTATATTTTGAAACAACAATTTTCTCTAGAACATCTTATATTATGGAACGGAGGGAGTACAACACTAGTCAAACATATTTGATAATAATAATCTTATAGTTCTAAGTGCATGATGTTTTCACACTTATCCATAACCTTAACATACACGAACAAATGCTGGTCCGGTGTTATTTCTCTGTTGATAATAACCTTTCTCAAATCATTTTTTATCAGATCGTAACAGAGAAGGTAACAAGGCCAACACAACGCCAAGATAACCTCATCGTTCTGACCCGTACCATGGACACTCAAATCCAAAATGTCAATGTCATCTACTAAATGTCTCTGACAAGGCTTCAAAACCAGAGACTTCCTCAACCATGTTCCACCATCCACCTCCAATACCCACAACTCCGACACACCAGTTTCTCCAATATGTGTATAATCAAGGAGTGCAGGTTTTCCACCATGCTCTATAAAACCCACTGACTGACCAAACTCAGAGACTTCAAGGGGTGCTTGGATCTTACTGAACTCTTCAGACCTAACGTCAAAACAGTACACGTTATCGCGACATGTATGAGTGAAAGCTAGATAATATATAACTCCGTTGATGCAGAATCCTTCTCTTGTAGGCATGTGAGGTTGATCATCATACTCAACCTTTTTCCAAAAACCTCCGGGTTCCAATAAGAAGACCCAATGCTCAGAGGTTATCTTCCCACGATCTCGAGGGTGTATCACAATAGTGCAGACAATTTTGTAATGATCATGAACAGGGTCATGTCCAAAAAAGTAGTGGACGTACTTAGGTTCTCTTTGGTCAAGGATTTTGGATTTGATGGCGGGTAAGATTACATCTTGTCTAGTTGTAGGATTATAGATACATGCTTTTCTGCAAAGAGAATATAGAATCAAACCTCGAAGAACCACCATCTTGTGTCCTCCCATCCCTGGGAAAGTCAATTCAGGTTTTAAAGATGATTCAGAACTATTAATAGACGAAGATAACCTTAATGATAGCAGTTGATGCTTTCTAGGATATTCCCAGAGTTCCAAATAATCATTAGAGTTGTTTTCCACCAAACTCATGTATAGACCAAGTGGTCGTGGTAGCAATCGAGATGATGCAACCGTGAGATAAAGGTTGGTAAAATATCTGGAACGGATCAGACCAGACCAAAGCTTTGAGACACACCTGAACCTCATAAGCGATTTAGCAGGCAATCTCCCCAGGATATGGATCATGAGATCAAAAGGAATCTCTGGCGCCACGAAATCGTCTCTTCTTTGTCTTCTTCTCATTTTTCCTCCTCTTGCTCTTCTCATCGCCTTTGATGACAATCTCTTCTTTCATTGAATAGCCGAGATCATAGACAGATACGTAACCACAGCTATGCCTAATTCACAGGGACGAAAGACAAAATAGAAACAGAGATAAGATTCACCAAAAACAAAAAGAAAGAGTTAAGGTTCACCAGATAGGGTTTTGGAGATCTTTCTCGAACTGGAATTTTCTACTTTTCTAACCGGTCCCGCAAAACGACGTCGTCAAGGGTTGATGCTGTAGTTTAACATAGGGCTGGGCATCATTACTGATACTCGCCATATACCCATTACTTGATCCGTACTCGTCTTGAAAATCCAAGTACTCGGTGTTGTCAAGTCGAGTAACAAGTCAACAAATTTTATTACTCGCAAAGGCAAAGCAAGTATCAAGTATTATTTCATTTTTCAATACTTACCTCATTACTTGGTATTCATTACTCGTTTTATAAATACTCGTTACTCATTCTACAAAATATTCGTTATTTGATAATAATATTTGTTACTTGCAAAAAATAATAATTGTCTTGATTTGATATTAGTTTCATACAAATATTAATTTAATAAACATGACGACTCATTACTAAATAAGATATTACACTTGTTATGCATAAATTTTTTTAAACTAATTGTATGTTTTTTTAGTAAAATAAATAAGTAAACCTTCATGTCTTTTTTGGTATATGATTATTTAGTAATTAATTTATAAATACTCAAAACTATACATAGATAATTCACAAGTACTCGTAACTAGCAAGTGATAAAGCGAGGCAAGTAACTTACAAGTAACTGATTTTTGATCAAATACTTAAGATAACAAGTACTCGTTTTTAACAAGTCAAATACAAGTCGGAAGTTTTATTACTCGTGCAAGGCAAGTCAAATATCAAATACACGCAAAATAGCAAGTACTCGCCTTGCGTCCGGCCCTAGTTTAACATATATTGTAGCTGGGCTTGTTGGGCTCACGTTAAAGATTGTAGTTTACACAACACAATCGTGTTTAAGATTTTAAAAAGCCTAACTAGATTTCTGATCCACCTTAAGAAGCGTGAATATCATTTTTATTGTTTTATTTACAGATAGATCGATAAATCTTTTATTTTGATAAATAAAATGTCATTATCTAATATAACTTTGAAAAATTAATGTAGATTTTAATTTATTGTTATCATCAATATCTAAGTAAATATATTGTATGTAATTATGTAGTTTTATTTTGGAAATATAATATCAACTAACTACGTCTCGTGTTGGGAAGCGAGCCAAACTCGGCCCGCTCAACCCGCATGTGCCTCAAAGAAAATATATTTTATCCACATCCGTTCCAGTTAATTTTACGGGTAATACACGAGACCCACGGATAATTATTAAATTATGAAAAAAAATTCAATTTTTTCTAAAATATAATATAAAATAGTATATTTTATATTAAATTTTCAATACTTTTTAAATGATTTTTTGTAAGGAAATTTAGTATATTTTCTAAAAATAAACTTATAAAGAAAATTATATTTTGCGGATTATCGGGTACCCGCAATTAAAAATTAGAAAAATCTACATCGGTCCCGCATAAAATACATTGGACCCGCACTCGTAATTTATTTTTTAAAATCGATATGTTTCGTGGCGAGTCAGACGGGGTGGGACTCGCGACTAATATCAAAATTCTGAGCTTTAACTACACCAATTAAGGCTGGTGAATTTATTTTTGAAAGAAACTTCAGAAATAATTAGAAGGTAAATTTGACTCATTAATGAAACACATTACTATATAGTTTTTAGGTCTAAAAAAAGACTAAATTGTCATTAATAAAAACTTAATTATGTTCATAAATTAAGAATATAATTGGAAAACATAAAAAATTCATTAAACATAATGTTTCTGTTTTAATGGTATTGATTAACCAAAATCCTTATAACCGGCCGGCCCGATGATTAAATCCTCTATATATTATTTTATGATCATTTAAAAGTTTATAATCTTTTATTTTGTAATGTTTACAATGTTAAGTTATTGATTGGTATCATGCTGTTACATCTTAATTTTTTAAGAAAATAATATTATTGTTTCTAAAAAATCTATTTTTTACATTTACGATGCATGTTTTATAAACTAATTGTAAACTTCAAAAAACTTAATTGCACTAAATGATCTAAAATATGGATCTTTTAGGAACATGGAAGTATAATTTTGATAATTAACTAAATATTCTTCTTCTTTTAGAACTTAATATTCAATAACGATGTTTTAGAATTTAGCCATTTATAAACATTAATAAATAAAATATATATACTTTATGAAATTATATATTTTAATTTACTAATTTTATTTGTTTTATTTGCTTTTTACCATTTATATTTTCAGAATTTACTTTATGTTTTACTTTTCGATTGAAATGAATTAGTTAAAATTTAAATATCAATCTTTTATATATAAATAAAAAAATCAGTCATTTGTATTTGGAGAAAATAAAAAATGACTAGAATAAACCTAAAAAGTTTTTGTCACAAATATAGACCTTGACAATTAAAATGACTAAAATAACACTTAAATGTTTTATTAAATATACATTTTTTCATTGGGTTAACTAATTATAGATTTTTTTTGTTTAGAGTTGAGGGGTGGGTTTTGGGTATAGGGTTTCAAATTTTTTTTTAAAAAAAAACTTAAAATTTTCAAAATAAAAAGTGCTATTTTGGTCATTTTAATTTTTGAGGTCTATTTTTGTGATAAAAACTTAAAAATAACTATCTAAGAGAATTGCCCTGGAGAAAATATTATTTTGTTTCCCAAAATAAATAGATTATTTTTCTGTCTATTTTGCACACCCCATGGTTTATGAGTGCATGGAGCCATCCCAGTTCCCATTTTGACGTTTGGGTGTCTATGTCATCTCAACTTGTCTTTCAAAAAGATCCCTCTTTGTTGAATTTGTCAAATAACATATTCTACCCCCAAAAACATTCTACTTGAACATATCCCCTATATATTAATTGAGAAACATTTGAAAAATTGTAACCTCAATTTTGTAATAATTAAAAAAGAGTCCATGCTTACGTATCACTCAATTATGTAATCAGTTACATTCAATTGAAAAATAAGTAGGTTCACATTCGATTTTTATATGTCGCTAGATATATTTGTTGGTCAAACTATATGATATGATATTTATGATAGAAACATTTATGATGGTCCTTCTAGATGTAATTACTATTTTATTTTATTTCCTTAAATAAAAGTTACGGAATTACCATAAATAACAAATAGATATATATATATATATATATATTTATATATGACAATTAATGTTTCTAATAATAAATATTTGATAACAATTTGTATCTCCTCCATCATTTTTCTTTAATTTATATTATTAAAATAAATCAAACAATCAAATTAGCTATAAAATTAAACTTTAGATTTTTTTCGTATATGTTATATTTTGAAATTTAAAAAACCAAGAATAAATGACTAAAACTATTAAATTATTAAGTTAAAAATTAATGATCAATAGTTTAATAAAAAGATACACATGATTTTAAAACCATATGAGTAAAAATTATCATTCAATAATAATAAAATATATATATATAGATTAAACTATATACCATATAAGATTACATACTTATTTTAAATTCAAAATTTTCAATGAATTTTCAAGAACATTTATAAATTATAAACGTATTAAATTTTTCACACTGAAATTTTTTGTTATCAATGATTTAAATATATTAGTTCTTTTTTTTTTAATTTTCTATTTTTTAAAGATATTAACACAATCGATAATATGGTTATTTTTGGTATATACCATACAAACCGAATTTATGTGATTTATAAAAACCGTAAGATTTGGATATGGTTTGATTTATAATCGATCAAACTGAAACATGTAAATATGTATATCTATTTGTTACATGAGTTGAACTATAATTATGATTTGTAAATCACTTTAATCACTTGAAATATAATTAACTAACAATTTAATGCAACTGAGGCTTCTTATTTTCTTCATCTTTTTTTGATCTTTTTTATTTATTTTTTAATAAAAACTAAATTGAAGTAAAAATTATAAATTTGATGGACAACAATTAGTTGAAATTCTTTACAATTTTTTTAATCTTTAAACAAACAGAGTTGTGTTCAATCGAAGACATATTAATTTGATGAACACTAAATATGGAAGAATATAAAAACTTTTCTTTCATGCTTCTGTTTTGTTTTTATTTTTATTTTCAAAATTTAGAGATTTGATATTAATTCTAGATTTGATCATTTTATTAGATCATAGAAGCCTTTTTTTTGTTTTTTTATTATTTTAGTTAAATATATAATTTTTTTTTTTGGTAAATGACTTTTTGACAATATGACTCTAAATATGATCATATAATTTATTTTTATAATATATAATATGATTTCAAACTAAATAATGATGTATTTTGGTATAAAATTGAATAAACTGAAAACCAATATACAAACCAAATCAAAGTAAAGTAAATATGGATTTAGAATAGTAGTTATATTTTAATAACCAAAATACTGAAATCCGATATCCAGATTGCACATCCTTAATCTAGATGAAACCAAACTTTTGTTTCATTTTCCAAAACATAATAAAAATAATAACTTTATCTCGCGCAAGGCGCGGGTCTTATCCTAGTCTTAGATTGTTCGACAATGATGCATTAGTATTTTACAATTATTCAAAGCTAAATTACTACAGTTTGGCATTTTAGTTATATTAAAGGAAAGTTGAAAATTTGACAATTTAAATAAATTACTGAACTTTTTTTCCTTTTGTATAAGTGTATTCAACATTTGAGTATATGAGATGAGTTAATATATATACCAAGTTATAATCTAAAAAAAAAATGGAGAACAAGTTGGATTAGGTTTTTCCCTTAAAGTCCAAGCTGGATTATGTTAGGTTAAAACTTTACAAGTCTATTTGATTAAGTTGTTTTCTTTACCCATTCATTTATTTCTCAGTTATGGGCAATATTTATTTAAATAGGCCACATCTCAATGAACATTAAGCCGTCAATTAGTTACAGTTTTGTTAATCATCCAATAACAATGGATAGTGTTAAGCTCAAGGCCCATTTTTTGGTCCAAGCTTTGCTTCCACACCACGGCAACTTCATCCTTCAACAGATGAGCATATGCTTTTTCAGAGTGGCAGCATGCTTCTTACCTCCCAGATGTACATCAAAATCCTCTTGCTTATGGCACATCACATTGCACCAAGCGCAAACCCTAATTTGAGTTTTGGCAGCATGTCTCTTACTTGCTAAATGTGAATCAAAAGCCATTTGGGTACTGCACATCACATTGCAGAATTCACAAACCCTGATTTGAGCTGATGCAACTCCATTCTCCTTCCTTTTCCACATCACTTCCCCCACACGCTCAGATACGTTTCCAGACTCAATCAACGTTTTCTCCTTGAAAAGTTCTGCTCTTTTGACAATTGAGTCAAACTTCTCTCTGCTGCTTAAACAAAGAGAAGAGCCACTTGCCATCAGAAACAAGTAAGATCATAATTTTTACTTAATTAAAATACGACCAAGTCAGTAGTAAATCACCTCGTTTCCTTGTCATCTGGACACTTAACACTTGGAATCTGTTCATTCTCATTATTATCTACTCGTGCTTTACTGATTAGAGTAACTTCTTTGATACTCACTTGTGCATCTTTAGGCTCAAACTCAACCTCTTCCACCGTGTCTCTTGGATGATCCTTCTCTTCAAGACTTTGTTCCAAAACTTTTTTATCATCAAACAGAACCTGTACTCAGAGTTTAACATATATTAGTCTTCATGGTTCGAGTCTCTTACTCATCTAAGTGCTAAACCAAAACTCCTCAGCTTTTTACCTCTGCCTGTTTCTTTACTCCTTTAGCGTGCTTTTTGCCCATCAGATGAGCCTCGAAGACGGCTGGAGAAAGGCAGATCACACTGCAAATACTACACACATATGCTTTAACTTCAGCTTTCTCTTTAGTCACGTTCTCCTTCATGTCCATGTACTCCTCTGGATGCTCACTAGCTCCTGCAGAGCTACTTTCAGGATCGCCTGAGTTCATTTCCAGGTTCTCGTTTGGTATACTCTCAATCTCCGAGGTTAAGCTTGAATCTTCTGAAACTTCTTGTTTCTTGAAAATGGCATCAATACACTCTTGAGGGGCAGACAACTCAAGGTTTAGTTCATTGAAGATACACTCTTCATTTGGAAGAGATTTGTAATCATTCTCTCTTACTTCTTCAACAGTTTGAACAAATTCTTCAACACTCTTCTCAGAGGTGGCACATCTCTCTCCCAGCTCCTGTCTTTTCTTATCTAAGTAGTCGATGATCTCAGCTGCCTCTCCAGTCTTGATTCGGAGCTCCTTTGTCATGTCTTGGATGATTTCCTCTGGTATCTGAGGATTATCAAGCAGAGCCTGTTTCAATAACAATGTATCATCAACAATCTTCTAATGAAACCATAAATTTTCAGCTCTAAATCTCTATCAACTTACATCTATGTGCTTCTTCAACTTAGCAGCATGCTTCCGTCCCTTATGATGAGACTCGAACACCAAAGGATGTGGACAAGTTACATCGCAGATACTGCAAACATATGGTTCATACTCGTCTTCACTCACTGTACTCTTCTCCTTCTTCTTCATGTTAATGTCCTCCTCGAGATTCTCAGTCGCTCCTGCAGGTGATTCTATTTCCAAGCCTTGTTTGAGCATGTCCTCCAACTTTTCGATTTCAATGTCATTTTGTGTAGGTTCTAGTTTCTTGAAGATTGCTTCAAAACACTCCCTGTCAACACAATGTTATTACATCAAAATATACTCTTAAAATTTGGCAGTAAAGAGGCAACAATCGAAATCTACCTCACTTCTTTAGGCACTGAAAAGTCGCGGCTTAGTTCACTGAAAACATGATCTACATTGAGGGGAGCTACACCATTCTTGTCAAGCCTTTCTTTAAAATTCTGCCAGAACTCTCTTTCAGTCCTTTCAGACGTTGTAATAGCCTCAATCAATTCCTTGTTCTGTTTCTCTAAACACTTCATAGACTCTTGAGCATCCCGAGACTGCATATCATTGTCTTGAACAATCTCTTTTATGTTTTTAGCATCAACGAGAGCCTGCCACAATGTCAGTCAATCAAAATCATATTTCCAGTTTCACATCTACTCTACTGTTAAGAAAGAGATAAAACTTGCCTCTACTTGTTTCTTCACCACACTGGGAGAACCGCAAAGTGTAGTCATCTCAACTCCTGCTTCAACCACCTTATTCATTATCCTTGTGTCCTGCTCATGACACCCACTTGATGCTGCAGCTATGTTTTCAGGCTCACCCAACAGTTCAAGGTTTTGCTTCAGCTCCCACTTCACAGCCAAAAGCATATCCAGTGGAGGTTAACATGAGGGCAAATTTGAATGCTCTTAAAGGCAAACATAGCTGTAAATACCATCAGGTTCTAGCATGAAGGTATTTTCTTTAAAAGGCAAAGAGAATGGGAGGTGAGAAAGAAAACTTGTGGTAAAATGTTGACACAAATAGACCCTATAATTGGAAGCAAAGAAAGCCTATTTAGCTCCTAACACTAGGATGCTTACTTTAGCTGCATGTTCATTGCATACTCTGCAGAACCATTCAGATTCACTGCATTTCTTCTGAACCTTCTTTCTTTCTGTCTCTTGTTGATTCAGCTCTTTCAAGACATCCTTCAGTTTCTTCCTCGCAGCCTTAGTAGAACCAGACCCTGAATCAATTACTTGTGTCGACAAAACACGCTCAGAAACAGAAACATCTTGGCTAAATATTTCAGAATCGAAGGAACAAGAACTTCTTGTAGATGGACAACCACTTGCCAGCAAGCTTTTCCACATCCATGATGTCCTCGCAGAAGCAACCAGAGAAGGTGAAGCTTGCAAAGGATGTGCAAGAAGAATGTTGTATCTTCTCATTCTCAACCGGTGAAGAGCATCAGAGAAGTCTCCATCACCGGAGATAAGCATCAAATTAGCCGGAGCAGGATTGTCCAACACCCAAAAGAACATATCAACCAGAATCTTCTTATCACTCGCATCTTTCTTCCCTGTTTTAAAAAAAAAAAAAAAAGACAAAGACTTTAAAACTAAATCACACACACCTCTGAACCTAAACACTAACTATAGTAAAAAAAAAAAAAGACAGAGACTATAAACTAAATCACATACCTTTGAACCTAACCACTACCTGAAGCAAGAAAAAAAAGACAGACTTTAAACTAAATCACACATCTTTGAACCTAAACACTAAAGTAAAGAAAGCCAGACCTCAAACTAAATCACACACAACTTTGAACCTGAACACTTAACTAAACTAAAAAAAAAGACAGACTTTAAACTAAATCACACACCTTTGAACCTAAACACTTAACTAAAGTAAAGAAAGCCAAAGACTTTAAACTAAATCACACATCTTTGAACCTAAACACTTAACTAAAGTAAAGAAAGCCAAAGACTTCAAACTAAATCACACACACCTTTGAACCTAAACACATAGTAAAGTAAAAAAAAAAGACAGACTTTAAACTAAATCACACACACCTTTGAACCTAACCACTACCTGAAGTAAAAAGAAAAAAAAAAAAAGACAAAGGCTTTAAACTAAATCACACATCTTTGAACCTAAACACTAACTAAAGTAAAGAAAGCCAAAGACTTTAAACTAAACCACACACACCTTTGAACCTAACCACTAACTGAAGTAAAAGAAACCAAAGACCTTTAACTAAATCACAAACCTTTGAACCTAACTATTAACTAAATATCGATTTTTAAGATCAAAGAGGTTTTAATTTAACTAACCGGAGGGGACGTGGTGAAGAGAGATTCCAGTGGAGGAGAGAGCTTGTTGAACAGCTTTAGGGATGAGATCGGTGTTGCCATAAGCAGAGATGGTGAGAGGACCACGGTAGTTCAAGTTCACCAACGCTGAGTTTAGCTTCTGGGCTATGTTGTGAGCATCCCAGCAGCCCTTGGGAACAGGACAGTTCTCAATGTCCCACCAAACAGAGGTTTTAGCCGTCGTGTACTCAGGCTCCGCCGTGTGGGTGATTGAGTTGAAACACATAGGGACGGACTTACTTTACGAGATTTTATCACCAATGAGGTTTGAGAAAGTTGAAAGCTTTTATCAAAAGCCTTGTTACCTTAAAATAAATAAATAAAAACCTTAAAATAATAAAAGATAATAAATGGAAAAGAAAAAAGAAATAAAAATACTTTGAAAATCATTTGGACAAGTAAGCTTTTGCTTTCCTAAGCAAGACGACAAAAGAGGAAAGCAGAGGAGAAAAAAAAATGTATATAAAAATTACTTGACTTAGAGAAACAATTGAAAGAGCTTAGAGAGATTTATCAATGAGGTTTGAGAATACTTGAAAGTTGAAAGCTTTTATCTAGCTCGAAAATAATCTAATATTATTGTCTGGTTATATATTACCCTAAAATAAAATAAAAACCTTAAAAACAAAAAAAGGTAAATGATTTAAAATTTTAAATGTTAAAAAAATAATAAATAAGCAATAAGAAAACTTTAAAAATACTTTTGTACAAAGTAAGCTTTTTTGCTTTCCTAAGACGAAGAGAAAAACTGAGGAAAAAAAAAGTATTAGAAAAAAGACTTGACTATAGGAGAAACGATTGGAGAGCTTTACAGCAGGATATGTTTTAATTATTGTTTCAAATCATTGCTTAACGTTAATATTATCTCATTAGAACATCAACTAACAATAGATATATAATGTGATAGTTGACCATTAACAACAGTTTTTAAATCAGACAATTGTACAGTTTTGGACCTTAGCATCTTCCCTCTTGGCAGCCACTCCGGGTTGCTCCTTAAGTCCTGCAGACTCCTTTAAGGGTTCCTGTGGTTTTGATTGGGGTCTAAGCTTGGACCCATCTTCAAACTTCTTGAACACATTCCCATCTGCTGGAAGTTGTAATCTCTCAGGAACCACATCCAAACATCCTCTGTAACCCAAGTAATCATTAGAAACACACATACTGACCAAAACGAGTTCAAGAAACGACCACATTGATTGATGGTTCTTACCTTGATTCTTTGTGTATACTAGACTCTTGACTCATTCCAGTGTAGGCACGCGTTAGGTTCTGAGATATGGCGTTTATCTCCTTCACTTCCTCTTTATCCTCGGTCTTTACAAGTGTGTGCTCCTTTGTTGCCTCTGCTTTGCCCAATGGATGTTCCATTGCTCTTTGGCGAGTTCTCTGTGAATCAACAAATGCCTTCTACAACAATAATCAACTAGTTTAGCTTCTTTCTCTTTGTTTTACTATGTAACCTTAAGAGTAAGATCTAATGTTCTTCACGGAGACTAAGGTATGCTTTGTGATACTGACAATTAAAAAAAGAAAACAAATAGTAAGGTAATAAACTTGCCTCTGTTTGCTCCTTGATCATGGCAGCATGGTTCTGATAATCAAAGGCGGTTTGGTTTTTTCTCAATACGTTGTTCGTCCTCTCTGCATTCTCTATAGAAAGGTTGGCTTGTTCCTTAGACATGTTCTCATTCTTGGCATATTGCAACTCCAACGCCTGCCTGTGTTTTTTCCCATATGTGTGATTTGCATATGCAACCTTGCTGCTGCAGCTCATCTGACAGACTTGGCACCACACTGGCTGCAAGACTTCTGGTTCCTTTGTTATAACGCGGGACTTAGCACCATCACTGACTACAAGGCCAGGCTGTAACAAGAGTTAAAAAATGCCAAATGAGTTTGATTTTAATCAAAAACAAAGAGGTACAAACAAGAAGTAAGCTGCCACTACCGTAGTTTGCTTTTGCTGCAGCTCATCCTTTCCCTTCTCAGTTGCTCTTTCAGACAGGTTTACAGGCTTGACAGTGCCATCAAAACATTCTCTGAAACACAAGTTTTCAGTTTATTATTAAAAACAAGGATTAAACAGTTTGACATACTAAACAAGTTATCAAATTATTTTACCTTGCTTTCTCTGATGCTCCAAAATCACCGAAGAAAACAGTATCTACCCACTCTTTAGTACTTGAACTTTTTTCTTTTACACAGCTTTTTGAGGTGCTATATACCTCTTTGAACTCAACGTTTGGCTTCTCAAAGAACTTGGTGGCCTCTTGACTGTTTTGAAACTGTGACTGAGGCTCTGCAATTGTTTCTATTGGTAGAAACGTTTCTTGGACAACTTTCTCTTCAAGCATCCAAGAATTAACAAGTAACTGATCCAAACACATATACAAGACTTTATTCCCTCTCTTTTTACCATAGTTAACATCTAAGACTTTCATAAATCAAAATGTTAGAAACTTGCCTCCGCTTGAGTTACTGAGGCAACATGCTTCTCAGAGCACTTGCTATTCTCTTGGGCGTGTTGAGACTGCAACAGAGGCTGTGCAATTGTTTCTCTTGGTTGATCCTTTTTCCCAACTCCTTTCTCTTGAAGCTTCTTAGAATCAAGGAGTGCCTGATACCAAGATATTTTATCAAACTGTAAATGTTTGCAAGTTCCCAAACAGCAAAATATTTATAAACTTACCTCAGATTGACTCAGCATGGCAACATGCTTCTGACCTCTTAGATGAGAATCAAAAACTATTTGACTTTGGCATGTCACATTGCACAAACTACAAACGTAGACAGTGTTTGGTTTAGGCTCTGCAATTGTTTCTCTTGCTCCATCTTTTTCTACGAGACCTTTCTCTTGAATCTTCTTAGAACCAATGAGTTCCTGATCAAACGTTATTCATATATATTTACCAATGTTTAAATCTATGTGATTTTTTTTAATTACTAATCTGAAGTTCGGAAACCAAATAGTTTAAAAACTTGCCTTTGATTGACTCAGCATGGAAGTGTGCTTCTGACCCCTTAGATGAGAATCAAAGACAACTTGACTCTGGCATGTCACATTGCACAAACGACAATGATAGTTAGCATTTGGTTTAGGCTCTGCAACAGCTTCTTTTGGTTGATCCTTTTCTCTGTAAACTTTCTCTTCAAGCTTCTTAGAATCAATGAGTGCCTGAAGCAACGGTAATATATCAAGCATGTTTGTAAATTCTCAAGTTGTCGAATAGCCAAAAAATAGTTAGAAACTTGCCTCTGATTGACTCAGTATGGCAGCAGCATGCTTCTGACCCCTCAGATGAGAATCAAAAACCACTTGTCTCTGACATGTCACATTGCACAAACGACAATGAAAGTCACCTTTTGGTTCACTAGCGTTCTTATTATTCTTCTGTTTCTCAAGAACCTCTTTAGAGACCCCAACAGGCCCACGCGGCATGGTTTCAGACTTACCTGATTGCATCTCCAAGTTGTTTCTGTGTCTTTTACCATAGGTATGCATTTTATATGCATCCTTACTGGCGCAACTGATCTGGCAAACACTGCACAATACAGGTTCCAAAAGCTTAGCTTCCTGTACAATTTTGGCTTTATTGCTGGCCTGAGTTTTCTGATTGGGTACAGAAGCAGCCTGCAAAAAGAAATCAATACAATTTCTTTATTCTTTACAAGAAAGATAACCAAACATCATTCCCATTGATCTAAACTTATAGATAAAAGTTTAGTCTACCTGAGATGTATGTCTTTTATCTGAGTGTTGCGCAGCTACATTTTTGATGCTATCTGAAAGAGTAACAGATTCAGCTCTGCTTTTATCCTGAGGTAATACTACTCTCGGAACATGGTTTTCTCTGGCTTTGTGATCCTTAGTATCTCCAACGACAGAGGTTGAGCCAGTAGGTTTGCTAGACTGAGCTTGTTCAGAAACTGAATCTTTTGATGTTTCATTATTAGAAACAAGACCACGTCCATTGTTAACAAGCCTGGAGGATTCACCACTTGTAAGAGGAGGACCACCAGATGCTAAACTTGTCCAGAGCCATACATTTTTTGCAGCAGCAACAAGTGGAGCAGAGGCACGTGGAGGTTGAGCTAGGAGAATAGTGTATCTCCTCATACTCAGCTGGTGAAGAGCATTTGAGAAGTCTCTATCACCAGAGATGAGCATGAAGTTGGCTGGTGCAGGGTTGTCTACAGCCCACAACAACATATCTACTAGTATCTTCTTATCACTCGCATCTTTCACTCCTGTTAAAACCACCCAAAACAGCACAAATACTTAAATCTTTCATAAAAAAAAATCAACCGATGTGATCACAGTTACACACCTTAGACTCATATAGTATAAACAAAACTGTGAATGAAGCTAATATAGCTTATCACATAGATAAAGCAAAGACTGAGTTTTTATCACATTTTTTCACAAAGTAGAGTAACCCAAAAGTCAATATGATGAAACCCAAGTCAATTTCTACAGTTTTAAACCAAAGATCGCTGTAAAAGTATTGATCTTGATTCTGGGATCATCATCAGCTAACCTGCAGGGACGTGATGAAGACCAACACCAGTAGAAGAGAGGGCTTGCTGAACAGGGTGAGGGATCAGATTAGTGTCTCCATACGCAGAGATTGAGACAGGACCACCGTAGTTCATATTCAACAAAGCAGAACTCACATTCTGAGCAATTGCATGTGCATCCCATCCTTTAGGGACCTCACAGTTTTCTATATCCCACCAAACAGATGTTTTGGCCTTTGAGTACTCTGTCTCCGCCGTAGTCATCGCCCTTTGTCTCTTTCTCCTCCGTCTAAATCTACTGGGAGATGGTAAAGTAAGCTAATAATAATGGAGAAGGTTCCATATTAGTAGTACTACTTTACCATGTCGATGAAGAAACCTTTAGTCTTCTTTTCTCATTTATTTTCTTTCCTTTGTACTTCTTCTACCTACGTATTGAATACTTCTGTCTGTGTATTCTA